TTTTTTTTTTTTTTTTTTTTTTTTTTTTTTTTTTTTTTTTTTTTTTTTTTTTCCTCAGTGCAAATGTTACCTTTTGCCGTAGCTGAGCTTTCTGGAAAGACTCGAGGTCGCGGTAATTGGAGATGTCGTCCACGAATCCTTCCTCGTCGGAGCTCTCGTTGCGGTTCTTGCGTGACTTGCGACCGAGCAGGGGACTCGAGAGCAGCCTTCTTCGGATCGGCGACGCGGAAGCTGGCCTCTTGCCCTTCTTCGTGGGCGCGGGACTGCTCGGAGAGCTCCTCGGCAGTCTGAGATAGAAGCCAACAAACAATAAAAATTTTACACCTGGTGTAAAAATACGTGCTCCAATAGGTGTAGCGTTACCTGGAAGTCGGCCGTGGCGAGGGCGGTGGAAGAGAGTGGCAATCCTCGTAGTCGCCGAGCTTTGCCGCCAGTCCGTCGAGTCTCGAGGCCAATCCGTCGAGCGACGACGCCACGGACGTGCTCACGCTCGATCCCCTATAGGTACACGATAATGTACGCGTCGAATACATTCTTCTTTTTTCCTACCACAATGTAATTTTTAAAAAGCCTGTACACCGCGCAGACTTACTGAATTGGCGACAACGAGGACGGTTTGGCGATCCTCTCGATGATCGGCAGCTGCTCCCTGCAGATGCCACCCCTACTGGATCTCCTGCTCGCGTCGACGGCAGCCACCGCGGCCGCGTCAGCCTCCTCTTTGCGCACGTTGGCTTCGTTTTGTTCGATCTCCGTTCCATCTTCGTCGTCGTCGTCGTCGTCGTCGTCGTCATCGGCGTCGTTGTTGTCTTTGTAATGGTCCAACGCGTTAGTTGCCACTGTATTGGGTACGGTCGCAACGGCAAGAGCCTCCTCCGCGGGCAGCTCGGCCAGACGGGGTTGCAGAGCGATTATGTGCTCCGCGGACGGAAATAGCTCGCTCGAGTCCAAACTTCGGGACTTGCCGCTGTCGCTCAGTCGTGGACGCGTCGATCTGTGAACCACCACCGCGGATGTCGTTGCGCTGCCATCCTTGGCCACCGGTGCTGATTAACAAATAAATATGTACTCGTGAACCTTCTCGTTGTTACAATATACGCGAATCATCAGAAAATGCAAACGAACCGTGGTTCTCTTTGCCGCAGCGGCGTCTCCTCTTTTGTTTCCGGGAAACGAGGAACAGTCGCTTGTTGGGCGCGTCCTTGCGCAACATGTTGATGGCTTCCTCGCAGGGGACTATTTGGGCGTCGACGAGGTCGAGGTAGCCGACGCTACAACTACGGACTATCGAGTTGGCCAACACTTGAGTTGGACCTATGCTGACCACTGTCGGCGTACGATGCGACGCTTGGAACTATACGAGGGTATCGTCATCATCAATTTCATACATTCGTTACTAAATATTATATAAGTATTTGTGATATTCCCTGCAGCCTTGCTCACCTGGAACTGATTTTTCAGAGCGGGCACATCATTGCGCTGTTCCTCCTCCTCCATGAGCGAGCTGTGCCCAGCGTTGGCTGGTCCGGTTCTCGTTGTCGCCGAGGCCTCTTGGTTGTGTCGAGTCGTCAAGTTGGCATTCTTGGGGAGCAAAACACCTGCTCCGTTGGCTGTGAACCCGGGGCCATTGTACTGCTCGCCGAGGCCGTTAGCGTAGCCGTACGAGCTCGGCACTGTCCCTGGAAACGACGAGCAACAGTCCTCGCCGAGGAAATTGGAATGCCGACCGGTCGCGCCACCGATCTGATCTAGGTCCTTTTTCAACAGGCCACTTATAGCGCTCTGCTGATCAGCCAGCGCGGTCTTCATCCTCTGCACGTTGTTTGTGTATTCGCCCTGCATTGATATCGCATACTCATTCATTTGCCATCCCGTGTTATGAATCACAGTAGTTGTTTTTAGAAATTCGAGTCTTGTTGACTCTGTCAAGTGAAAAAATTTAGCCTACCCTCCAAATCGCAAACGTTGTTGAGAGTCAAAGGGGAAGCTTTTTTTTTTTTTTTTTTTTTTTTTAATTTTTCGAGCAATCACGCACAAAGTGGCAACACTTGGTACTTACTATTGTGGCGCCGGGGCTAGAGGTGGCAATGAGAGTCTGGGTTGGCGCGACAGCGTTCTTGGGCGACTGGAGTGCCGGCACGTCGCAGCATCGCGAGGCCGCCATGTACGTGGCACTCCTGTGGTGGTGCGGGTGATAGTGTTGGTAACCCGGAGGTATGACCCCGGAGTAGCCACTTGGGTGATGCTCGGCAGTTGGCGGGCCGTAGCCGAGGTGCCGATGGTTGCCGAGATACTCGACGCACGAGCCTCCTCGCTCGAGCCACGGCTCCTCGTCGTTGTTGATGGAGAGCTCGGGCCGTGACTCGTACTGAGGTGGCGGTGGTAACGAGGTCGACGCAGCAGCGGTAGCAGGAATTCTAGGTCGGACGGAAAGACTACCGCTGCCGCGGCGCTTGGACAGAGGCGTCATTGGGGCGATCATCGGTGGCGGTGGCTGCTGCTGTTGAGGGCTGAGCAGATCCAGCGCCGCGCAGTGAGGTATCGACGATAAGTTGTACTGCCGCGATGCCGAAGTTGCTGTCGGCTCCTGTTGCGAGAACACGTCCTCCTCGTCCTCCGAAAAGAGGTTCGGGTTGAAGCTCGGATCGGGACCTATGAGAAGATTAAGCGTCTCTTTTGCGTTGAGGGCACATCGTTAATTAACAGAGCAGTATACTGATGACGGTTGTCTAGATATAACTATAGCGATTTTTACAATGAATACTATATTATTATNTCTGAGCTCGTCTGTTGATTCTGTCAATCCGTACAGAAGTTTTAGGCAATGGAACAGACAACTTCCGTCTCTAGGGACATCGATCATTATTAGCTGTCTGTGAGGTTCTGCGCATTGGGTCCCCGATACTCGTATCTTTGCATCCTCTTTCTCGAAAAATATTTTTTATTGGTTTTTTTTTTTGACAATGCCTTTTCTTTTTAAGGGTTGCAAAATATAATCACTCTATCTTTTATCCTATTACTCATTTTCCTGTAAGTTGAATGTTGTACAACCCAAAAAAATTTTACATAACTCTTTCTTATTTATTTTTCTTCGCCTTTTTTTTGCACGTGCGTCCAAAGGTCACAACGAGAAGAAGTTTTTATTTGTTTGTATTTTATCAATAATGTTCCTTTAGAAACGAAGGGTGTTAATTGTCTGACTGTCTGTTGGTTACGTAGTTATGAGCTATTTCATATTTTCTTTCCGTATAATTTGTTGCTTTCTCCCGCGGCTCGTCCGAAGGCCGCGAATGAAAAAAATAATATTTTGCCCTATAACTTTTTATCGTTTGTTTCTGCATATCCTGTCTTCCTATACTATGCTGCATGTTTATACTAGATTTACGGTTATTAAATTTCACATTACTTTTGTTTTATTAGTATTACTATTCTTATTACTATTACTATATTATTATTATTATTATTATTATTATTATTATTATTATTATTATTATTATTATTATTATTCTACGTGTTTACATTATCATGCACGCATATTTCATGAATATGTAACAACTATATTATCGATCTGTACGTCATTGCAGGCATATCAAAGGGCTCTGGATTTCTCACCTGCTGGTAGATCGTCCCTGAGCTCGGTAATTACGAGGGTCATCTGTCGGGGCTGTAGGTGCAAAAGAGACGGCCTGTACGTGACTCGGCCGAGATTCGCTGGCACCGAGTCTGCCAGGCCGTGAAACTTGAACTTTGTTCCCCATATGTTGGACGTTACCTCGACGAGCCTCGCATTCTGGTACATCGAATATCATTTATAATTTGACACTAATTTATTATTGTTCATCAAATTAAGAGTAAACAGAACAACAACAACAACAACAGGTCATCACCTCGGGCAGCGTGTCGACGTAGCTCGCCTCGTCGTCGTCGTTGTTAGCGCTACGCTCGTACGACGTGCGGCACCTTCTGCGGTTCCGTCTCCTGAACCTTGGCGATCCGCCGCACAGCTCAACTGTACTGTCGTCCGAGTCGTCGCTGCAAGACGGCAACATCATCGACGCCGCCGCCATCCTGCAATCCGATTGCAACGTCGTAGCCGTCGTCGTCGTCGTCTGGGCTGCACCTGCACCACCGACCCCACCGTTCGTAGTCGTCGTCGACTCGCCATTTTGCGGCTGCTGTAGCTGTTGTTGCCCAGTCTCGGGATCGAAGATCACGAACTCCGGCCTGATCTTGCTGGTACGTCGTCCCTTGAGCAGCGGCACGAGGCCGCCAAGGTACTCGACGTAGAGGGTGTAGCTGTGGGGTGGCTCGCCGGGATTGCGCAACATCGTGCAGTGCAGCCGACCTCCAATTGGCGGTGGCCTCGACACGAAACGCCGCAGTTCGCGTGGTTCCGGTACGCAGCATCTGAGGATTATTATTGCATCATCATCATGAAGGCATGTAGGTATTGCACGGCTTTGTATCGTAATTAAATATCATTTTGTTGATAAACGAGCTTGACCCGTGTACGCAGTAATCAGTGAATAATAATCCAATTCTAACTTGTGGCTGCGGCTTTGTACAAACTTGTTGTTGATGCACATGTACCTAATTCGTTTTTACTTCGCACATCCAGCCAAATAAGGTTTTAATACGCTTACACAGCTGGGTTTCGAAAGATATTAAAGTAGTGTATTAGTTTTGCGCGGTGCTGAAATTTCGCGCTCTCGATGGGCCTCTATACGAATAGCTGATGTTTGCTCAGTGGGTGAAAAGAACAAGGTGAAGAAAAAAAAAAAAGAAGCTTAATTACACGCGGAAGCTGGTGTCTCTTAACTTATGTATACCTGCAACTTGAAGGTAATTAGCCTATTTTACATGTATTCCTGTGGGCACGAGAGCTCAGGCAGTGTACCGTAATGAGCTTAATGCGACCGTCCAAGCGAGGCAGCATAATATCGCATAGTCGCGGCACTTGAAAATTTATATGGCACTCGAAACGTTTGAAGAGCATGGATGGTACGTGGCAACTCGTAAACCCCTTGTGAAACTTCGTCTCGAAAGTTAACGTCACACGAGAGTCACATTCGTGAAAATAGTTGTTTTTTTTTTTTTTTTTTTTTTTTATTCACCCCAAACTTTCAACAAGTCTGCAAACTATGTATAAGCAAATCATCAGCTACCACCTACTCGTAGACGATACTCTGGCTAGTTTACGCAGCCCCAAATATTTTGCATCTTCATTAAGCCCCTTTTCCTCTCGATCGGCATTCAATTACGCCCTGTAAAATTCAATCACGGGGAACCCAGCTGAGCTTAAGTACATGGACGAAGAAGCTTTTTCTTTGGATAATTTACTTTGGTGGTTCGTGTAAAATGTAGATTAAAAATACTGGGACGCAAGTACACAAGTCAAGTTTCTCGCTCGCTCTTTTTTTTCCGAGAGGGTCGTGAGATTAGTGGCTACTTGAGTGCACCTTTTTTTCCCGTACATGAGTATGAGTAAGTATATAGCTACGGAGATGTCCGGTCGTCGGAAAATTACGTATATATCGGTTTTTCGATAAGAAAGCGTGTCATAGAATTTCGACGGACAAAAGCTCCCTTATGCAAGCGCATATACATGTACATATTTTTGTCTGTAGTTTTCTACAAAGTACACGCGACGACTCGAGACGCGGTGTACTGTATACATCGTATACCTTTAATGTACATCAGCTCGAAAGTGGAAATTCCGTTGCAGAGACTATACGTATACATATATTTATTATCTTTCTTTTCCCCTCAGCGTCTCCCTCGCTCCGAATCTTCCCCTCCGTTACTTCTCTCCCTTTTTTTTTCTCTCAGGTTGCTTTCTGTGTGCTCGGTCGCTCGCTCGCGTCAGGTCCACCGTACGTATACATGTACCTACGCATTTAATTTATCTCTCTTTCTCTCCTTGTGGTCCAGCTGTGACTGTACTCAGCCCCGCGCGTGGTTTTTCGCACAAAATAAGTGATAAAAGGTGCCTTGCCTTTTTTTTTTAAACCGCCTTCTCTTGCATCCATAACAAAAACTGCATCGCTAATGAGGTGTATCGATTATTTTTGTAGGTGCACCGTGTCGAGAAGCCTTCTGGGTGAAAAAAAAAAAAAAAAAAAAAAAATTGCTGATGATGAACATACCCCCACTTGCAACTCCTCTTGAAGCAACGTTGATTGAATCATGATGACGCAACATGACAAATACCCGAAAGATAATTGGATATCCGATTCAATCGCACCTGTGTATAATGAAGTTACGAGCATTTGTATAATTTTTGCTACGACGAACCAACCGAGACGGCGCATCATTGGGCGGTAAACTTAATAAACGCCACCATCGGACTCTTATTTTCCCGAAAACAAAGCCAATTAAACTCTCTTCTTGCAACTGAACGAGCTGTTTTTAAGAGGAGTCGCAAAACTCGCAGTTCTCGTTTCGAAATTCAAATGAGAAATAACACCCGTTCCGCTGTGCGCCCTTCGTTTTTGTACTAAGGAGAAAAAAAAGAAAAAAGAAAAACAAACACCTACAGAGACATGGTATATAATAATCCCTCACCACCTAGAGGACCTTCGTTAAAATCTCCCCGAGCCATCCACTTCATCAAAAACCACATCTCTCTGTCGCCACTATCGATCCACTCTATTCACGCGGATACAAGAGCATGGGACAAAAAAACTCCCCTCCGTGCACCTTCAATTCTACACCTACATGTTACTATGTATTATACGTAGAAAAACCAAAAGGGGTGGTATTAAAGAAAGGGGAGGGGGGAAATAGGCCAGGATGACTTACCGTATGGTGTTAACGAAGAGACCAGCCACGAGATTCTTCAGCCGAGGCGGGAGCGGCAGTTGAGCGACGCTCGTCTCCTTCTCGAGTGCGTTCTTGAGGGCGAGCCTCGAGAGAAGCTGCAGCGAGCCTACACCCCTACACGTTAAAAGGAATATAAGTATCGTACACGTCATGCAACAATACAATAGAACATTAGACCCGAATCCTCGTGAGAATTAGTATTATTGACAGGGGTTGCAAGAGGAGGTTCACGTGTAAAAAATTCTTTTATTCCCTACGGAGAGTCGGTGGTAAGGGTGACGCATCGTTGCGCCTTGCACACCCTCGCGCAAGTATAAGTATACATAATATACATACGTATGTACGCTGTACATGGCTCGTTATTCATCGGTATTTGTATACCATATACTACTTTACGATGATTTATGCCGTATGACCGATCTCTCGCGCACTTGGGTACGTGATTTTGCCATTAGCGCTAATGTAGCTACCGTTGGATTTTTTTTTTTTTTTCTGTTGAGCTGTAGCGTTTTTTTTTTTTTTTGGGGTCGTTATTCGCGTTGGCGTAGAAATACGTATCGAAGGCACCCAAATTGTACAAAAGAGTATGATTTACGTCGAAAATCAAGCAATTAAAATAACGCGTCGAGATAACTTGAAAAATGAGATATGAACAAAAGAGTGTTCCAATCGATATGTATATAAGGTACACGTACGTCCCGTTCCATAAGAAAAAAAGAAAAAGAAGAAAAAAAAGAAAAAAAAAGTGAATAATGACGTATTGACAAACATGTACTCTTCAAATTACCTGGATACCCAAGCGGCGTGAACCTGTGCCCCGGTAGCCACGAAAATCCGTCGGTCGTTGTGGCCCCACGTCATAGCGGTCACCGGACTCTGTGAACCAGCCGGACAGCCGTGTCATGGAACAAAAGAGCACACACAGATTCATTATGCTACTCGTTGTGCCATGAAAAAATGTGGAAAAATCACCCTGCACGAGGATTTACTCCGTCAATCATGTACGGCTCGCTCGTGATTTATATGTTCCCGTATACAATATACCTATGTAGGGCTGATTGGATCGGAAGCGAGCGAGGAAGGATAATCCTGTACCGATGACGCGCGTGTTATTGGCACTGGAAGAGGCAAAAAGCGCTGCACGTCGTTCATACGCGTGTGCCCCGAAGCAGTTCTATTATCATCTCTTCTCACCCCCTTTTTTCCATTATTAGATTTTTTCTTTAAAATATTTGAATTGCAGGAGCGTGGCTTGATTTTTACCGTCATTGTTCTCTGACGTTTTTTTTTTTTTACACTTGCGCGCGTCTTTCACTATTTTACCTCCAAAGAGAATAAATCAATGTTTTGTGTTATTATTGTTTTTATTATCATTACAATTACTATGATCATCATTATTATTATTCCAGAAGTAAAAGCGTATAATATCCCGTGTCGCGGAATTAAGGGAGCTCGCGGGCAATTTAGTGTTCATGAATATATACGTATTATTTGCGGCACTTTGTATTCAAATTCTTGGGCTATTACTTTGGTCTCCAATCAAAGTTTTAAAAAAAAGTGCACAGGTACACCAGTTCGATTTATTCCTTGAATATTTTAAAAACAAATGGTTTGTTTTTTTTTTTTTTTTCAGCACAATGTTTCAACGCTTTGCGTAACATAATTTTTCTTTTTCATTTCTTAAAAATTAAAAGTAGGTATAGTGAAACACATTTTAAGCGAATTGAAGGATAAATCGCTAAAATGTAAACTACTACGGCTTCTGCTGATTTTTCGAGCAATCACGGCAAATGCACGGTCCAAACGAAGAAGCTTATACACTTGTTGAGTGAATTTAATTCATTAGAGTGCAAGTTGAAGTCGAAAAAAGACACACGTATACATATAGTACTGCATTTTTCTTTCTTTCCTAATTGTCATGAATCACAGGTGAAAAGTTTCTCTACGCATCCATTTGTGGGCTTTGATTTTTTTTTTTTTTAGACGATTGTTTCAAGAGTAAACTTTTATACACCGTGTCAAAAAACAAACTTAATCTCTTTTTTAACCACCTCGACAGGCAAAAAAGTTATTAATACTTTTATTCCGGCTAAAAACTCGGCCGACTCGCTGCTGATTCACCTCTGAAAGGTGGAAAAAAAGAAAAGAAAACCAAACCTTTGATGACGACACACGACGCGCGTTATTAATCCGAGCCGACAAGCTTCACGAGATTCGTTAATTTAAACGACTCCCAAAGCAAAAAACGATAAACCCACTCGTGACACAATTAAATAATTCATTATTAATGAAAGGTAACCCAATAACCAATGCTTTAACCTTTGTTTCGAATTGTCAAACAAAATTTAATTAACTTGCCGGGTAAAATCACGAGTGCAGTAATACAAATCAATTATTTCCTCACGAGCTAACGCATAGCATCTACCTGTATAACGTAAAATGAGAACGACGAGGGTTTGTTGATTGTTTTGTTTTGTACCTGAGTGTAAGGTATGACGATGGTGTAGATCAGCGCCCCAGTATCCGAGTAAAACTTGAGCAGATTCGTGTACTCGAGATTGCCCGTCTGGCAGCAGTAGCCACCGGTCCCGTAACCATTGCCGTTACTATTGTTGTTGTTGCAATAATAATTGTTATTCTGATGATGTTGATGGTGGTGGTGGTGGTGGTGGTGGTGATGGTGGTTGTGGTGGTGATAGTAATGCGACTGTTGGCTCGTCGGTGATTGCGGCTGGGACTGCTGGCCATTGGCTTCGATGCCCGCAATGGCCAAGACCTTACGCGAGTTGCTCCACTCGGCGTGCAACGGAGGCCTCAGGCCCGTGTTTATCGTCACGGGCGAGACGTCATCGAAGGACCGCAACAGCACCACGTTCCCGTCGGCCAGGCACACCGCCAGCACGTACTGACGGCAACTCGTCGCCCTACCACCTCCGCTACTGTTGCTGTTGTTGTTGTTGTTGTTGACGTTTCCGCGGCTGTTGCTGTCGTCCTCGTCGTCATCCTCGTCGTCGCGGTCGTACTCTTCCGCTCCACCCCCACCATTGGCGCCGACGGTGTCCTCGTCGTCGTCCTCCTCCAGCTTGAATTTTTCCGCGGACCACGCCATTGACGTCACTCCAGCACCTGCGAGCCGATTTTCGTTTGTTTCGTTTTGATTATTGCGCTTGATGATTTCAAGAGCTCTCATTTGTCTCCTCGTGAAAACCAAATTGTCAATTCAAAAAAATTCAAGACAAGAATAATTTATAGGTACGTATACCACACAGTTCAATAATCATACTAAGAAGAGCGTTTTATCTTTGTTTCCATCGCTCAGACATCATCCCTTCATATTTTTTTTTTTTTTTACTTTTGAGACAAAACAAAAAAAAAGAACCGATACTTTTTTTTTTTAACAGATAATTCATAGCAGGAAGATGATCGATTCCCTCGCAAAAAATTATATTCGTATACATCGGTCGAAAGCGTGACTGTCTGCATAAAAGAGCGCGAAATAAAACGCTCCCATCTTGATTGTTATTCGCGACAGGCCAAAGTGGAATATTCATCGATCCTCTACAGATATACACTTACGTGTACGTATTTGTGTACGATGTATAAACTCTCCTGGCGTCGATTTAATCGAGGTCGAATGAATATTTCCCCGTTTCTTTTTTGTTTCATTTTTTTTTCTTCTGCCCCTCGAGATGCCATCGATCGCCGACAACGATAAATTCAAGACTTTGTTGTTTATCCCTTGTTTTAAATACAAACGCGAAATAACGGTATGGATGGAATTCATGATCCCAAGACGCGAAAGATCGAATGTAAGGGGGTGTAGCGGCCGAGATCGCATGGGCGTCAACCCGACACGCATATATACCCAACGTTTTTTCCCCAAGGCCCATAATCGACTGGATGCTTGGGTGGAAAAAAAAATCTCCGCGGCTACACCTCGAAATCCCCGAACGCTCGCTCGGCCGTGGCGTTGAAAACCCCAGCAGCTCAACTCGGACGGAGGAGTGAGGAAAAAAAAATCCCATTTCGCGTTTCCTATGAATAAATGCCCACAATGTGTGGATGAAAAAAGCAAAAAAAAAAAAAAAAGTATGAACTCACCGAGCTGTACCTCCGAGACCATGGCTCCGTGCACGTCCATGACGATGAGCTGTCCGGCCGTCGTGCCGAAGTAGACCTGCTGGTCGTCGGGGGTCCAAATGCCGCAAGTTATCACCGCCTTGTGGTTGAGCATCGACGACCAGTAACGCTGGCCCGCCACGCTGCCCACCAGCACGAAGCCGTCCTTATTATGGATTCATTGGTGTAGCAAGTGCCAAAGAAAAAATATGAAAGGCGTTATTATTGTTATTATTCATGAACGTCGACCTTTGCTTCCCACGTTCAATGCCGAGTAAATTTAATTTTCCGGAATAGCCAATGCGGTACTACATTTAATTGTAATTGAACGTCTATGGTACTGTGATAGCGTGACCGAGTAAGATCATCGAAAGTTTTTTTTTTTTTTTTTTTGTCAAAACTGAAACGAGAAATGAGGGATGAGGAAAAAAAAAAGAAAAAAAAGTAGGTCCTTGATAAGCAAAGCGAGGCCGCGTGCAAAACTCGACGTTTGGCCTTCAATTGCGCCGTACATTCCCTTCGTTGTCTCCTCGGAAATACATAAAAGTCAATCACCGTCCTCGCTCCGACTGACAGTTTCCCATTACATTTGTGCCCGAGCAACCGTCGGCCAAAAAGAGAGACAATCACCTTGTAGCAGATGAGCGCCATGCGTCCATCGTGCGACCAGGAGAAGTGGGTTACGGGCGTGTTTCGATCGTTTATGAGCTCGATGCTCCAGCGCCCGTCGTACTTTATCCACACGAATATCACCCCCGTACTGTCGCACGAGGCCAGCTTCTGGTACGGCTCGTTCCACTTTACCAGTATCACCTGCAACGTGTGTATTTCATCGTTATTACAATTATATTGACGTTACATTTTTTTTTTTTTTTTTTTTTCATGTAGGTATTATTTTTCCTCGTCAATAATAGAATCGAGGAGAGAAAAATGTTTGCCTCTCGCATCTCGCGCTATTGTCCTCGAAATACAGCCGCAGTCCATACGCGAGTCGAAGAGAGAAAGAGGGGGGGGGGGCGGTATGGGTGTGTATTCATATCGCTGGCAGGTAGGCGCCGATATAAACCTCCCGATTCGCGGCTGCAATTGAACGAAAGAGCGCGAATGTGTGCTAATACATGGGTCGCCGTAATTCATGGAGATTTCTATACGTGAAACTGAACGGTGTACTGTCCCACTGCTACCAAAGCCTTTTTTTTTTCTTTCTCTCATCGCTTTTGTCGTTCACCGGTGATTCATTCGATCGGGTGGTGTGGCTTTTACGGTACCAAAAGTCGAGATTCGATTTGTTTCGATTTATTTAATTTCGCAATGAGCGAGGAATCGGTTTTAAATTCTTCAATCTCGAGCCCGTCTGACTAATCGTTGGTTATACTACTTGAAACAGATTTACCGGTGATGGGCGTTGCATCGTGTACGTTAAATATTGCACGCCGAGGGTTGAAGGGGGAAAAAGAAGCTTATTTAAAATAAACACCTCCCCTTTTTTTTTGTCTCTGTGATTGCGCTCACAAGCGGAATCGAAGAAAACTCCCTCGACGCTGTCACCGCCATCCAACGACCAGTCGATAATCTTCGTTCCCGATAACGAGTTTGAAATTATCGGAACCGAAGTGTAGGGTACTCTCCCTTTGGAGGAGGATGGGAAAGGGGGTAATCGATAACCGAGAAAGTATTTTTGCATTTTATCCGTGGGAAATGATTGGAGCCGTTCTCGAGTTGGTATTTACCGCACACGGTGTACGAAATATTAATTAATTATCTTCGAACGTGGCAGAAAAAACAAAAAAAAAGAAATAGTCATCGTGCGTCATCTGTTTCTTTAGCTCTTGGCTCGACTTTTGGCTCGCTCGCTCGAGTATATATCGATTACACCCCGCTCACTGTGGGGGGTGGGGGGGTACACGTACGCGTAGTACCCATATAGGTATATACCGCGGGAGCTGCCATTACCGCATTAGCGAAACGCCCGCGCGTTGTGAGTATACCAGGGGTGAGAATTTCAACACACAACAGTATAATATATATATATATTCCCTAGTCGGGAAAACGACTCGCCAGTTCTGCGCTTGGCTGCTCCGGTTGTTGTTACTCATACACGATGTGTATTTACATGCACGCGCGGCTACTCTGCCTGCACATATACTGGATCCTTGTACGTATGTGCATCATCCTCCCTTATATTCTGTGTGCGCCAACAACAACATCTGCAACGCACGCGAGCGTCTGTTAAAATGGAGCAACGGTTTTTTTTTTCAACTTGCTCTCGAGGCTGGATATTGATATTTTTTATTTTTTGAAAAATTGAATGGACGCCAATTTTTTATCCGTATGCATAGCATGGGGAGGGACCAAAAACTCGTGTTTTTATTTTCGAAGATACGGAAGAAATATATCTTTTCATTTCTTTTTTCTTGTATAGTCTAAAGAATCATAAACGAACGTCTTGGGTGGAAAAAAAAGGGACAGGTAAGTATATCAATGATTCAGACTGCAATATTTTTCTAATTTCAGAGTTACAGAGAGTACCATTTTGTGTGTTTTAGAGACGCATTTTTAATATTTTCCCACGATCAAAGGCACGATGTTAAAAATCGCAAAACTCGACAATGTATGTGTATATATATGGCATGTTCCGAGTCCGACACTCGCCCTGAAATTTCGATCTCCAACTATAGCAACGGGAAATCAGTCGAAGCGGACCGCTCCACAGGAGTATTTGGCAAAGTGACTGTCGGCGCCAGTCCTTCCCTCCGACGATTTACACGGAGAGAGCGATTACAGAAATGTACAGAGTATACAATAAGAGGAAAAGAAAAAATAGAGGCGATCTCGCTCCACCCTGTCTATGCTCTTGATTTCTATAAGTCTGACTTCCAAAAGCGAGACATACGTATATCTACATATACACAAGCATCAGGAGGATTATATATACAGTTGGTGTGTAGGTGAACGTCATTGACTCGCCCTCCTCGACACTGTTGTTCTCTAACGCATATATATACGTATGTACACGTACTTGGCTTGCGAGCGTCTCGTTTTTTCATCTCCACTCGTGCCATACGTGTACACCTCGGATCTCGCACCTTACGTGCCCCCTCGAAAATCTCAATACGGGGCGCCAAGTCAACAAGCTTCGGAGACGAGACACCCCATCGCCTAACTATTTTTATCTATATATATACTCACTACCTTATGTCGCGCATACCCCACCAGTATCGCCTCTTTTTTTTTTTCTCGAGCAAAGAGAAGCCAATGAATTTCGGCGTTTATTGGTTCCTCCCGTGTTTAACATGTATACCAGCTATACGCGATGTATGACGTAGGTATATTTCATATGATATCGGTATATACGTTGAGCTACGGTATTTGTCGTTATAAGCTCTGTTTGCAGACACGTACGTGCAGTCGGATGTATAAAAGGTACTATGTAAATGATATTTATGCGTACATCACGAGAAGAGAGACATCCTACGTACAGAGTTATCTTCTATTAACACTGTGCAGTTGCATAAATAGTGCTCTAGCATATCGAAAAAGTTTTTTAACGATGAAGCATCGATGCATCACGTGTACGTATATGTCGTCCCCCAAGGGGTAGTACTTCTTTGGTGAAAAACTTTTCGTTCCAACTTACATGTATCTACCTACGTATAATAAAAATACGTATGTATTAGCATGGTGTGTACGTCACAGCCAACCGAAAATTGTGCGAAATATTCGTCTCGAAAACCGTATGTTTATACACATAGGTACCGATGGCCAAACAAACAAGCAGCATTCGCGTATTGCAATAAACGACACATCCGTCCGGGCGATTGATCATTCAACTCCAATCCGACGGTTCTCGATCATCTGCCTAGTAACTGTAAAAAATATCCAAACCACTTTTAGGTTGATCTCTCGGCGACGAGAAACGAGAAAAAAAAAAACAAGCCCGGGTAGTAATTCACCCCCGTGTCCCCTGTTATCGACGCCGGTGTAAAATTGACCCGTATGTGTAGAGGCACATGTTCGGAGTACCGTTATAAAAAAAAAAAAAAAAAACACGGTTACAGAGCGGCATATACGAGTGCGCCGTGCCGATAACAGTCGACGCGTGCAGCGCGTGTGGCTTTTCAAAGCCGAAAGCACCTAGTTTGTTGTAGAACAAAAAAAAACAAAATAAAATAAAATAAGCACCGCGCTACGGGAGCCACCGATAACATTGCAACAGTTGGAGTTTGGAAATAAATTTTGCACCCCTTCCTCCGCGATGCTATGTTACCTTCTTGATGATACACCGGACAGCCGTTTACCAAGTTTTCAACTATAGTTTTCCTTGGGTGTATACGAGACACGCGAAATTCAAAGTTAAATGACGTGCTCTTGGGATCTCTAATTTAAAAGTTTAGCCTCGCGCTCCTATTAATAGCTAGTTCGCAACAGTACCCGCAGCACGGGGAGTGAGCGCCTTAATGAATGCCCAAATGCGTGAGCTCGAGTCGGCTTAATTCTCCTCAAAGTTTCCCGCACGAGCTTACAACTCCCGTAACATAAATATAAATATTATATAAGTTTGCACATGCGTTGGGGTAACAACCGTACGGGGCACAGACGAGATTTTATCCGGTTGAAATTTTTATCTAACGACGTTCAAAGAAAATTATTTCCAACGCGATTCTAATACCTCGTATATTGAATTAGCTTTTATCACGATAAGGCTCACTTTACGTATAATACATAACGTTCACGCACTGTGCATGTACAGATGTATCCTTGCAGACAAAAGAAAAATAAGAGCCGGAACGTCGCGCCAAACTGGCATTTTCGGAGCCTAAGTCTCGCTTTCGTCGTCGTCGTTGTTTGCCAAGCGGCGTTTCCCTACGGAAGGAAAAAAAAAAAAAAAAAAAAAAGTATACATAAATGTTCAGAAAAACAGAAGCTTCGTATTGTACCAATGTACAGGGTATACACAGTTATATGTTGGCTCGTGTCTCTACACGGATACATACATACATACGTAAACACACAAGCGTTGCAGAAGAAGCGCCTTTATTGTTGTCGTCGTAGTCATCGTCGTCCACTTGTGCGCGGTAAAAGTTTTGCCTGCTCCTCTCAAGTGGTAATATCGCTCTCACCCGTCCACCCTCCCACCTTTATTTCTTTCTTTCTTTCTTTTCACGAGTGCGAAAGCTAGCTTGTACCAACCCTATGTAGATGTGTGTGTGTGTGTGTGTGTGTGGGTGGGTGGGAGTGAAAACGGTCACATTCATTTTCTCCTCGTCGTTTTTTCGAATCTTCATGCAGAGTCGAGAGTAGAAGAGAAAGGGAGCTGAAGTAGGGCTATTAGGAGATTTTTTTTTTTTTTTTTTTACCCTCCGCCCACTCTCTCCGTATCTCTATCTTTGCCTCTTTGAGCGTCCGAGTGACGATTTTGCTGCGAGAGCGGACAATGATAGGCATAAAGGCTTCAGGTGCGGGATTTACTGCTCTTATTGTCATTAATTCGATATAACTGTGGACCCTTCGATCGAAAGCGCACAAAAGTTTTCACTCGAGATCCAAGTCAAGGGACTTGAAAGGATCTTTCATTTAATTTTTTCGTTTCTTTTAATTTTTATCAATTGTTTGACATTTTTTAGATTGTAAATTAACGTAACGTACCTACAGAGTTACAAAAGAATAACCCCATTCGTATTTTTTAGGCAAACAACCATCCTGCAGAAGTTTAAGTAGTAATGTCCTTGTTTAGTCAGACACGTGAAAAAACTAACATTTATTGATGATTAACTTTTTACGTATTATTTATCAACGAGCAACTCAACGAATGGTCATATTTTTTTGAGCACATAACCCTCTTGCAGAGAAACAAGTAGTAGTAACTACGTTTGGTCAGACATACGCTAAAATCGCTATTTAGATGTATTAAAATTAATTTATTTCCGTTGAAAAAATTTTATCCTTTAACTTAATGAAATATTTTACTCTTACATTACCCCTTTTTTTATTTATTAATAAACATAATAAATAAAACAATTTATCGTATCAAAACAACCCAACGAAAATCTCCCGATTTATCCGGCAAACAGCGTCTGTTTCCTCTCCCATGCGCTTTTAAAAATGCATTTTCATAACGCGACTACAGCACACACGCGTAAAGTCCCTAGAAAACAATTTTAAAGCTCATGAGCACAGTATACACGCGGAATGAAAAATGACGCCGTGCACCACGTGGGTTGGTAATCGCACGTATGACTCGAACATGTATAAACATGTCGACACACATTTTGTTGGTAAACCAAGTCCAAAATGTATGAGGTACCCTTATTTTCGCTATTTTCGCTATTTTCGCAATTTTTTTTTTCCAATTCAAAAGTTAAAATTGCCTTAGCTCTCAATATACAGGTTGAAACACTCGGCTGTACCTTCAAATCTTTTTCGTTTATTCATCGTTCACCTGTACATATATCACACTCGAGGTAACTACTTGGCATCCACATGGATACGTGTAGAAGTACAACCGGCAGCCCTTGGAAATAGACTTGACAATGCAACACGCGAGGGAGGAGAAACAACTTTGGGCTCGGACCACGTGTAAAAAAGACACGATCGAACGAAACATGTGGTGATGATGATGATGTACGACATACCTCGCTTCTGTGTCCCCGCAGATTGTAGTTGGCGCGCAGGGGCAACTCCGGTGCTCGGCTGCGCGAATGCGAAGTGGTGAAGGTCACGCCGACGAGGCTGCGCGCATTACCCGTGGCGAGCCAACCCTCTTGGTAGTACTTGCGCCTGTACAGCTTCCAGCTCTCGTCCTACCAATGGAAAAATACAAAGAGGATGTACTTACGTTATGGACAATAAACAAATACACACACACACATGTTACATATTTTTTGTTTCGCTCTACTTGCGCACGTCTTTTATCTTTTATTACTCCTCGGAGCTTTTATATTGGATTATCGATGTGACACGTAAACGCTCGCGTTTTATGGGTTTTTCAACGGCGCAACCGGAAAGCATGGCAAAGGAGAATTATTTTCCAAGCTTGAAACGAAAGTAAACGCTACCCTTGGGGCTATTGTTTTTTGTCTTTGCAATACGTGCAGGCTAAGTAATTGGTTTACGTATACACGCGGGGAATATAATATATCCCTACTGACGGGGCCGAGGGGGACAAGTATGATGTACGCGTAGGTGTACAAGTTAAATTGACTTTGAATGATTTGCACAAATAATTTTCGTACACCGTGCACTATTGTTTTTTCGTATCATTCAGAATTGGAAGGTAGAGAGAAAACCAGATGGTTGGGTTTGGCGTTGGTCTTACTTCTTCCCGAGAGCAGATTGTATCACAAAAATGTTCTCTTGTCATCGACCGCACGACTGAACACAAGGTACAACCGATAACTAAACGTTACGAGTACAACAAGGTACATCGTCTTACGCGCATCTAAAAGTCGTGCCTGTAGCTATAGCTTCGCTCTCGGTCGGCTGAAAACTCTGCACAAAGCTCTTGTTATACGTATAGAGACTAGCTGTGTATTGACACTGCACTTGTGCGGGCCATGTCATAATTAGAATCGTTATGACGTTGCGCAATGACGAGTGTACAGCTTTTTTGAACAAAAAAGGAATGCCAATTTGAATGTGCTTGAAAAGAAACGCGATGCTTGGGCGTTGTCTGTTTTCCTTGCCAGTGTCTGGTGTAGCGCAAGCACAGAGCGATTCCAAAAGTCTTGGGAAAGTATAAAGCAACTGATGACGTATGAGCCAGTTCGCGGAAATAAAAACTCGACTAACAGGGCATTGTCGGGCTTTTACAGAGTATCCATTACACGCTGCACGGTATGAAAAAAAAAAAAAAAAAAAAAAAAAGAACGAGCAAACAATGGGGGTTTTTTTTCCTAATACAAGATCGGCTGGAAAGTTGTTAAGGCAAAGGAAAGGGTGAAGAGCCAGCCGAGCGATAAGGATAAAGCTACCCCAATTTGATCGTAGAGGTCGAAGGCGAGACAAAAAGAGAGGACAACGGATGTGTCGTATACCTGTGCACACGCACGCTCAGAGACCAATCCAACCAGTCTGTTCTTCTTCTTCTTTCGCGTGTTCTTTAATCTCGAGGGATAAGTACTGTATGGATGCAACAAAGAAAGAACAAAGAATGTCAATGCGTCGTCATACCTACTTTGGCTGGTGGTGAACTTTCTTTTCTCGTTTTCTCTACTCGTGTACGTGTGTATTAGACAAAGCGAGGGAACAGTTAAAAGGGCGGGGGACTCGTGTCAAGTAAGTAAGCGCTGGGAGACGGAGCATTTGAGACGAGCGTATGTTTTGTTGAGATGTTCTACCCGCTTGGGCTCAACGGCCGAGAGATATACGGCTCTCCGCGAATTCTCACCTCCGTCGCGAGCTCATATAGCGTACTTTCCGGACAGACTATGATAATATTTTCCACGGCCCCTTTCATTACGCCCGCATCGAGTTCTACAACCATCTATATACTTGCGCCCCCCTTTTTCTGCAACATTCCCTCGAAACTCGTAAAATAATTTGCCATCGCGGATAAAGCTCATCCATCGATGTATGCCGAATCACGTGTACACCATGATCATAATAACAATAACAATAACAATACATTCCGGTTCCCAATAATGGGTTGAGATTGAATTTCAATCCGGAGACAGACAGAAAGCTCCGGGCGAGCTTGCGAGAGCCCATTATCCCCGCAGAAATTTGAATTTTTCACCCAGCCAAGGGTGGCCGACGAGAGATCGATCCAAAGCCACGCGCGGAGCATATAGACTCAAGAATGCACCGCTCCATCCCTCCCTTTTTTTCTCTCGTCTCGTCGCACGTCGTCGCGACAGCAGCCATAGGGCGCGGCGGCGAACCCTTGACTCTTTCTCTCCTGCAAATGTACCTCCCTCTCTTCTCCCCCCCCCAGCCGCTTTTGCGCGATGCACCGTGTGTATACATATATGTACAGTTATTAGGGGTAAGTGTATTATGTATACGTGCGTCGCAAGAGAGAAGAAACTCATCGGTCGTGTGTGCGGGTGAGTGAAGAAAAATCTTAGCTCGGGGTGTAGCCGAGAGTGGAAAGCTCTGTTGCATATACATGGAGGCATCTGCGTTGGTAATGTTGGCAAAAGTCGGGTGTCGCGAGGGATTATGCTGCACATGGTATTTTTCCGAGGTGCTGTCTCTCGTGGCTCGTGAAAAGTTCTGCCACAGCATCTCTGAATCTCGTTCATCTCTGCTTTACATGTAGATATCTGCGAGAAAAAAAAAAAAAAAAAAAAAAACCAAAACCCCCAAAAACCCACCCCGCGGGCCCGTCTGGGGGGCCGTCAAAAAAAAAAAAAAAAAAACCAAAACTCTCCCCATTTGTTTGGCTCAAATTGTAAATCTTAAGTTTTATTAGAAACGCATTCAATTTTGGCATGGTATACGTATGTTTTGGTATGGTAGTGGAGATACGTCAATTGTGAGATGGAGAGGTCGATTGCATCATTGCAAAATATACGCATAAGAACAAAGAAGAAAAAACTTTGACTGAGTTAAAAGTTTCAATCTGCACGAGATATATGTATGAAGGTAATAAAGTAGAGGATTAGAAATAAATTTTGATTCGAAACTTTGTAACGTAACGTGGAGAGACTTTTTAATGAGAAATTAAATTTTCAGTGCACGAAGAGCTCGCAATACTTTACTTTTTTACGCGATATAGGTAATAATAATAAATTGATCTCTGAGCGCGAGGAGCCGCCTTGGCCGGTGATTTTTTCAGTTGACCTGATATCAAGCTGACGTGGTTCCTGTGAAAAATATTCCATTAGTTCTCACTTGGACGCTCATGGAAAATCCGTTCCCAGGAAAAATAATCTAAAGGCGAAGTATAACACACATTCATCCTATACTTTATGTCAATCAAAAGATACGAATTATATTTGGGTAAAGACAATTCGAGACCACAAGCACGTTCGCCTTTGAAATTTACCTTTGATGTACCTAAAATCGCGATTCAACAGAATTCTGTTTTTTTACCCTTACCTACACCCATGACCAAATGTTTTCCAAGTCTACGCAATATATACGCGTGCAACGTGATGTATATAGGCCAAAGTTTGTAATGTTCCAGTTGAATAACTTTTCACCTGAGTTTATAGCAGCGATGCACGCCCGCCCGGGTAATTTGTAAGCAATATCAGCTGAGCGTGCATATGGTTTACCCAATAACGAAGCCATTGTTTACTCCTGCCGTACTGTTTTCAAAATATGTTATAAATAATAATAATGATGATAATAATAAGCACAGGTGTGTACGTGTACATACACTTATAGACGACGGATCAGTGAGTTCATCTTTGTAGTCGGTGCATATATATATATATATATATATAGTTATGAGATGCAAAGTTAGACGTAAAGGCTTCCTTGAAATTCGAGCGAAATTGAAAAATCATCGAAAAAGTCAGGAATCAGAATAAGGTTTCCTCGAGCACAGTGTTTATGGACCACTGCGTGCAGGAATCGCAGGAAAAGCTGGTCATCAGCTTGGAAGCTGTAAGCGCGCAGAAAAAACGCTTGCAGCGAAGAGCCCCACTAATTTGTCCGCTATAAGGATTCCTTAGGCAGTCGCGAAAACGGAAGGGTAGGGTATTATATGTGTATCCTTGGGGTGTACCTGCAACAGCGTGTATACAAATATATACAAGTACTTACTAGACGTGTAAGCCCCGTGTGGATGCATCCACGGGCTGTGCGCCCATAATTGAAATGTTTCGCGTAACGCGGGACAAAGGGGGGGAGCCTGTATGTTTATAACGTGCAAGGAAGACGAGATGGATATACGTATATGCGTTACGTCGCGCCAAGGGGACGCGTGGACAAAAAAAAAAAGCATACGTGCGTTACGAGAAAACAGGGAGTTCGTCGCGTACATGGAGACTAAAGGGAGAGAGAGAGAAGAGGGGAGGGGAAGAAAAAACCGAGCTCTGGTCGCGGAAGTAAGGTGCGCCTTCTTTTCTCCACTATGCACCCAAGTGTATTCGCATACACGTAAATGTATCGGCAGAGCTTCACCCAACCACCCCCGCCTTTTTTTTTCATTTTTCCTTATACTCCCTTGCGGCATCGATCCGCGCGCACATTATAAACTCGTGCACCCTGAAAGCTCCTTCCTCTGCCCCTTGTTCTCTATTACACACACATATGTATATATATACACACCTACATGTATATGTACCTTTACGTATACGCGCGCGTGATGGTCTTTATGTTGTTGCCGCAACGAGCGCGGAGCGTGTGCGACGACGCCAGTAACGGCGACCTATTATTAGAGGAATGTTTCGAGGTTGCACCAGCACGGCTGGAGATTTTCTTTTCTTTCGACTATTGCACCGAACTTTGCGGCTGGAACATTGTATTCCCCCCCCCCCCTTTTTGTTTTTTTTTTTGTTTTTTTCGTTTACTGTTATCGTCGTCAACGACCGTGGTTTTTTCAATTGAGCTGTTGCAGCCTCGGGCTGGTACATTTATAATTAGGGGGATTTTTCGCGGTCGATGGATCTTTGTGGATTACGTGTGAAAAGGATGAGGGGTGAGTGACGCGTGCTGGAGTGTAATCATGGTGACGACGTGAATTTTAAAACGTTTGCAAAATTTTCCAGTTTGCCGGTAAAAGCTCCGAGATTATGCCAAGGGAATAAGGGTAATCACCGGGTAAGTATACTTGCACGGTCGAGCGAACGTGCAATAATCCTCGGCGAGAAAAATTACAGAGAGGAAACGCCTCCGCCGGTGAACGTTGGTATTTGATCTCTGAATTTTCGAGCTCTGTAATTATGTTTGGTCCGCCTATAACGGTGAGTTAACTATTAAGCACACACTGGCACGTTTATTACAAGGTACAGTACGAGTACCTACTTTGTGCTCGACACTAGTACTTGTCGTGTCATAAATTCACGGGGTTTTTCAACTTTTTTGACGAGCTGAAACGAGACTTTGAATAGTTTGAAAGTGTTCGACGGTGAGCCACGCGCCTGCTTTGACTATTAACTAATGGACGAAACTATGCAACTTTTTGATTTTCACCAAATTTTTATTCATCCCGAACTTCGTAGGAGATTTTACGTTGAATGGCACTTTGATGAATTTGCTACCCTATAGAAACGAGGGGGGAAAAAAAAGTTGTAACCTCTGATGTTTACGAATAATAAATGTACAAGGTTAACTCGTGCGGCGCGCCAAGTTGGAGAGGGAACAAATAAATAAAAAAAAAAAAGAAAATGGTGTATTGATTCGAGCAGTGGAAGAAAAAAAAAATCAATTACAACGAACGTGATACATAATTGCCACAGTCCACGTCACGTCTGCCCTTTTCAACCGTGGGCTCCATTCTCTGAACGAGGTGTGAAAAACTCAGGTTCCGTTTTTTTTCTTTTCTGCTTTTTTTGCCCCCTACTCAACGAGCTGTACAGATGGGGGTACACACACAATACCCCGATACGAGCAACTTGTGTTTAAATATACCCATAAGCACGTCCGAGATATCAGCACACTTACTCGGGCTCGAGAGCCGGCAAGGTAAAAGAGCGCCTCTGCCTTTTTTCTCGATCTTTTTTGCAAGCATGGGTCCTCATGTATATATACACGCTGTGCAAGTATACTCCAACTTTTTTCCCCCTCTCTGTCTCACGCGCACATTCGATTTAGAGACTTTATACGTATACATCAACATGATACAAATATACTTTTTATTAAAGAAGAAAACAGTAGTACTTGAACATTATTGCTTATTTAATATTATTTTGGACAACCACACGCGACTACATTTAATTTGTCTTGTTTTTGCTTAGCTCTGTTTCAAGCAAACTAAGTAATTGAAAGTTTTGCAGGAAAGTTTTTTTAGTAACTTTTTTTTTTTTTTTTTACATTTGAGTTTTATTTTTAACCTTATTCTGTGAGCATAGTTGTACTAACACCGAAATTACACGAAATAGCAAAATTCACTGCTTGTTAATAAATCAAAATGCCATCATTTAACTGTACCTTCTCTTTTTAATGAGCTTATCATCGACTTGGACCTCGACAGAAATTTCCCATCGAAACATTAATTTCTCGCGTGAAGAGCTCTTCTGATGAAAAAAAAAAAAAAAAAAAAAAAACACATTGAGAGGTAGAGTATACAGCAACCACTGTAACAATGCAATCAACTCTCTTTGAATAAATACTGACGACGCAGTACATGAGAGCAATAATTAACTTTGCTACCTCAACATTCGTACACAGTCAAAGCGCTTCACACCAATCGATGAAAAATCGAGCGACAACGAAAAAAAATAATGTAAAGGTAGTAGGAATGATTCATCAATACCCACACGCAATTAACGAACGAAAAAATTCTTATTTGTGTAACAACAGACTTGGCGACGGATACTTTATCAATTTTTCTCAAGTACAATTTTTTGCTAAAACAACAATGCTTCATTTATTAGAATTTAGAAAAGAAAAAAGTAATTGAAAAATCATTAAAATATGTAATTCTAGATACTTTGCAATAAACTTCTATATCCAAAAATTTCTCGCAGTTATACGAGGTGGAAAAAATTATTCTCTATAGTGTATTGTGAACAGTGACGAATAAAAATAATTGTTGAAAAAAAAAAACAAAAAAAAAAAAAATTCTATAAAACACTTGCGTGCCCCAGTCTGCGCGTAAAAATTAACTTGGACTAAAAACAATCGGACGAACGAGTTCGGCAGAGAAATCGGGTGGCAAGGGTAGTAAATTGGCGTAGTAGTCGCGCGACAATTAATTTCCACGGTCGAAGCAAGACTCGCACACAGTAGTACCGGTCGTGGTAAAAGGCAAACGTATACGTACGTGTAGTTTAGCCTCCGGCAGTGTATAGTTGACGGTACAGTAAAGTCGGGGGGGTCGGCGCCGCCGCGCTATTACATATTAGCTCGTTCGATTTCGATATCCGTCGTTCCCTTTCCATCGGCAATACCCAATGCACATTCCATACACCGGAGGGCGGATCACCGGTCAGCCAAACTGCGATCACCGTACGCTCACTCTCCTTCACAAATTGAGCTTCTAACAAATAAAATTCTTCTTCTATTTTTTTTTTTTTTTCATTAGCAGCAGTTCCTGTTCGCTTGTACAAAATTGGCCTCTGCTGTCTGACGGCTACGCGGGAAACGCCTCTTTCGATCTGCACGTACTCCCGGGCCTCGCCCAGTGACGATAAGCTTTCTACTGTACTACATTGCGGATGTTCGGGTGATTGACTACTGTTATACCCATGTACACGCACGTTAGGCGTGATGGAAAGTGGGTGCACTTGTCGTTACTCGATTACGCTCACAGAGAGACTCTGCTTTCTTTGAACTTGCAAGAAGACGAAGGGAGAGCAGCAGAGGGGTCCCTCGAGCCGGGATTAACGAAGGTTTCTTTTTGAAGTTGTATACTTATGCTCATCGCCCTTGCGTGAGTTTCGTTTGTTCGGGCGAATTACGCGGTGGCGGCTGTGACGGGGGTAAGAGAGACAGAGACGCCTTGACCAAACAACGGAGATTACTGAACAATTACGCAGACGCCCAAAGTTTTTTTTTTTTTTTTTTTTTACTACCACTGACGCTCGTGTTGGTGCCTCGAGGGCTTTTTCATTTTTTTTGTCTTTAGTTATTACTTATTTGTTATTTATTCTTTTTTTTTTCTTTTCATTTCAAGATAAAGTGCAGGTTTCTCTCTCCAAGATTTTACCGATGTTTACTTCGGGTTCCCGGAGCGTATTTGCTTGCGGGTGTACGTTTAATTTTTCAAGAGAATTGAGCGAGGGTTCAAACAAGGGGTTGCTATGGTAGTGGTTGATGTGTATGTGTATATAGTATAATAAAAAAAAACGTACCGTATAGTGCCATTGAATTGATATTAATAGTCAATTTCTAAGAAGGAGAGCCGAGATTTTAATTAAAAAACACGGTGCACGGGGTTGTAATTAAGGTTGCAGGTATATACGTGTAACACGTACGTATATGTACACGTACTCCGCAAAAGCCGTGCACATCAGCAGTTTCTCCGTTGCTAATTAAATGGATAGTTATAGAGTGGCTGTCGTGAAAGTTTCGTAGTACAAATGTATCGCGGGTGTGCGTACGAAATATATAATATCGTTTGCCCTTGCGTTAAAAGGTTTCATTGAATTTCGTGGGATTACACTGATGTATCGCTAATCCGGCCGACGAAGGAACTTGCACCGTACAGTCGTGGGGTTTTATTATCGTTACTTTGACGCTCACGTAAAATTTTTATTGCAATTATACCTTTTGAGGAAAACAAAATGTACATCATAGGGTTGTACTTACAGTAATCATTTTTCTGCACATAAGGCCACGTTACGTTGTACATTGTTCACTACTTGTCTTTCATATTTCTTTTCCCCCGTATCATATCTTGGCGTATTGGCCATACCAATGTGTGTTCAAATTCATTTACTCGTTTTTAAAAATAACTTCAATGCAGTATTTATTTCACATTGAATCCCTTTATAATTAATGCTCTTTTGAGTACCTCCACATATTAATCAAATGCATCATGCGTCATTTGCAATCGTTTATCTGATCCAAGTTTATTTTTAGCAGAATTAAAATACATTTTCACGCAAAGAAAGATATTATTTATGAGGATTTTTTTTATTTTTTAGTGGTTCAGTTTTAAAGTGGGTTTAGTCGTAATGAACGCTTGTTTCATAAAAAACTAATTGTGTACCACAGCGTAAGCGCATCGCGAGGGTAATTTCGTATACAGTACAGTATGAACCGGTTGAAAAAAAGCTACCCTCTCCACGTCCAATCGGAGCAAAACACCGCACGTCTCGACCACACACACACAAAACCTCCCCTTTCAAGCAACCCCCACCCCTACGTTGAAAAAAAAACAAAAAAAGCTCTCGCGCGAAATATGGAGAAAAAAAAAGTAGCACAACTGACCTCCTGGAGTTCGTCCGGTAGTTTGCCCATCCAGCTGAGCGACAGTATGTTACAGTCGCACTTGGCGCTGCTGTTCTTCTCGAAGTACAAGTGCATCTTGGTGCCGGGGTGTATTGTGGACGAGAGACGAATGTACTAAAACTAACGCGTCCGATGCTGGTCCTTGGGGTGCTCATCAATCCGCCTCGAGCTCGTCCCTCGATGAATATCACTACTGGCGTCGTTGCCCGCGCCACTTTGCAGGGCTCGCCCATCAAAGACAGCTGCACCTCTTGCCGTCCCTTTGTCGTCTACGTGTATACTACAACACCTACGCTATATATTTTTTCGCGATACTGTAGAAAGCGCGTGCGGGATGGTTATTGGCGATGGGTGCCGTTTCACCTGTGAACGGAAACAACGCGCGCGCACACCGCGGTCCTTTGCCTTGTCGATGGCCAGAGCTGCTGCTGCTGCTGCACCTGCGATTCCCACATTATTGTTCGCTGGCCGTCCTTTCTCTTTCCGCTCAAAAATTTCGCTGGCTATACTCTCGCGCGTCCGCCACCACCTGTCAATAAATCGATGCCCCCTTACTGTTTTCCCTTCAACTTCTCCGCTGTCACACCCGCGGTGATCAATGGGCTATCCCGTGTTGCCATTATTACCCCCTTCGAGTTGACAAACGCAATCGTCAATCGCAAAAAAAAAATCGCACATAGACAGCAGTAGCAGCACCAACACCTTTTTCAAGGGAAGCCGAGCGACACGTACACGGAGGAGCTTTCCGAGCGGGGGAGTGTCTGCTGGCGCACTGCCGCCGCTTCCACCACCGCCGGCTGGCACTCGTTCGGGCAAGAGGGTGCTGGGGGTACATATATAGATATGTGGAGCGCGTATAAACACACACACACACCCAACCCTGCCACTGGCTTTTTTTGTTTTTGTTTCGTCGCAGCGCGCCGCCATGTTCTCAGTCTCCCTCCCTCCTCGACGACCCGACCATCATCCCCTCTCGAGCTCCCGTCGCTCGCTGCTGCTGCTGGGGGGTGGCACAGGGTGCTGCAAGCACGTGATGTGCTCGCAAGCTCTCTCCCTCCCCGGCGTGTGAGAGTGCCCGAGAGCGTCTACGTCATCGGGCTGTATATACTGTCACGGACAGGCGCGCATCCCTCGCCCGTGTGACTTTGTCGTTGAATTATACACCCAAAAATTCATGCGTATAGGTCTGTATAATATTATGTACATGCACCGTGAGAGAGGGACATGACGGCTACGTTGTTTTGCGAGCGAGGGGAGGATACGTTACATGTCCGAGCGCGTTCGGCGCCGACGAGTGCCTCGTGCGTACTATACTATCTCTCTCTCTCTCTCGCGCAAAAGGTCCGTTCTCGTCGCGGACAAGGGAAAAGAGAGCGCAGCGCACCACCCAGCCACCCTCGGCGTCCTATAATGTGATGTATGCGCGCGCCAACGGGAGAGTTGGTGGTGGTTGGCTGGTGTACGTGCGCGTGTATACATGCGCCAATGTGCTTCGCGTGCAAGCTTCGGCTACATTATGTACGCGCGTGTGTATACAGCAACCCCCTATACATCTCCTGCCTCGCGCTCTCTCGACCTCGTGGGGCACGATTACTATTACTTGCGCCGTCTCTACGTATAGTATTCTTCGCGAGCTTTTCCTCGCTACTACTCTTGTATGTGTATACACTCTAGACTCGTTCGAACTGCGCGTTTGCATCGACTTTTTAATTTTTTAGCTTTCCTCGCTTGATTTTTTATTTGTTTATTTAGTCGCAACATGCCACGGTTGCGTACGTGCATGCACGTCTCTGCCAAGATCCCTTACCCTTGTTATTATTGATTTACACAATCGATCGAACTGCACAATATATAATTACATGCCAGCTGATGGTTTCCTGCTCAAACATCTATAAATGTGCACAATATGCATTAATCGTGTTGTGTTGTAAGTACACGTGCAATGAAACCATCAACCGGACAAATGCCCTGTGTCTGTATTTTATACCCATATACTTATACCTCAAACTCCGACTTACGTATAATTATATATGTGTGTGTGTGTGTATGATTATGATACTATATACATCTTTGACGCGTGCGCGCCCTCGTGATGACCACCAAACAATGAAACCTACTCAAGGTACGGGTACATATATTATATATATTTATCATTTAGAATATCTATACATTATCCTTTCGTTTTCACCCTCGTTTCGGCTCATTTATCAATCTCAACTTTATTGGCCATATTTATCCGTCAAAACGATCGAAACATTCGAGATTCAAACAACCAAATGACACACATTACATTGTATACAGACAAAGAGTATAGGCATACCGATCCTCGACCTACTCGACTCGTCTGTTTCTACTTCGGCCTCGCCGATATCTATTTCGTTTCTACATACCTACATGTTACATACACATTATAATATCATGTAACACTAACCCACATCTCATTTCAAATACATAGGTATATACTTGTCTATGTAAACCACCCCCCAGGGTATGATCGACACAGCTAATTTTTTTTTTTTTTTTTTTTTTTTTTTCTGCTATACATGTATGTTTCTTATACCTGTGTACATTCCGTCTAATTGTTCGGCCCTTCCTCCCCAGCATGCCCATTTAATTGTTCGAATTTCCTAATCTTGAGTTTTGTTTACGTATACCCTCGTTATTAAGTACCACTCTTTCTCTCCCCCAATCGTTTCGTTATCTCCTTCGTGCTTCTTAATATAATATATTATATTATGCGTGTATGTATAATAAATGTGTGGTAAGGGGCTTACATACGAATATTCAGAGGTGTATGGAAACAGCTCTCGTCTCTGGGCGATCGGAGGTGGAGGATTAAACAAATGTGCCGATATTCCATCTTTAAACATTAAAGTTTTCGTTAAATGCGCCATAAAAAGTGTGTACATTTTTGCACAGTTAAGGTGGAAAACGAATGTATTAACTGATGATGGCTGCTCGTTATTTGTTAAAAAATTTTTTTGTCATGAATCCATCACATCACCGCTAAGAAAATACGTCCGACCTAATCCGACCTCTTCTACTTATACTGCATAAGGTCTGCTTTTAGCAAAGGAATTCTCTGCGATCGAAAATTTGCCGCGTTGAAAATAAGTTGTATGTCTCTGCACGCACGGGAGGGCGCGCGAGCAGTGATAAAAAAAAAATTCCAAAAAAAAAAAAAGTTCTCACTTAATTTCGTCTGCGGCAGCTGTCGGAATGGGATTTGGAATTTGTTGTTCGCTTAACCATAAATAAAAAGATGCAGCGTGTTTGAAATAATGATTTTTTTTTTTTCCCTTTCTTTTTTTTTAATCGTTTAAGATTACTTTTATTTTTGTGCTGGCTTGAGCGTGATGTAAACGGTAATTGTGTTAGTGTGCATGACAAGAAGGTTAAGATTTAAGTGCAGGACATTAGGTTATGCATGTATTTGAATTATACATGAATAATTTTATTGTTCAATGTAAGTTTGAGTGTAAGATTTATTTCGCGAATGAGATTTTAGTTGTCTTTGAACTTTGATAATTTTCAATAAGTAACACAATGGATTATAAAGACGAGCAGATAAACGAAATCGAGGCTCTTGAGTCTATCTACTGTGGTGAATTTGAAGGTGAAACGAATTTTTCTGTTTTTCTTTTTATTTATTTTTTTCTAAACATTTACTTTTGTAGTGATGATAACAAAATAAACCTATCATGTTAATTAGTTCTAGAGGTTGAGCCGTTTCACAAGTTTAGTATTGTTATCAAATCTGAGGAGTACGAACCAGACACAGATAATGGTCTGTCGTGTAGATTAGAAGTCACATACACAGCCAAATATCCAGACGAACCGCCAATTGTTTCCATCGAGGAAGAGGAAAATTTCGAGGATGGGCTTGTAGAAAAGCTGATGGAACATTTGAGTGAACAGATTGAGGAGAGTTTAGGAATTGTTATGGTGTTTACATTGGTCAGTGCAACTCAGGAGTGGCTCAACGTTGAGTGGGATAAAATCAAACTAAATCGGGAAGAGAGTGCAGCCAGAAAGCTCAAAGAGGAAGAAGAGGCAGAAATGGTAAATTGTTTTATAATTAGAGTACTTAAAATAGTAGGAAGTTTAAATTATAATCTCTGTTATTCTTGTTGCAACTTGTGGAAAACAGAAAAGGTTTGAAGGAACAAGAGTCACAGTAGAAACATTCTTGAGGTGGAAAGAAAAGTTCAACGAAGAAATGGGTTACAATGAAAAAAAAAGATTGGCTGAGAAGGAAGAAAAGAAACTGACAGGTAGAGAATTGTTTATGAAAGATAAAACTCTTGACAAATCAGATCTCAAGTTCCTGGAAGATGGTAAGATGTTTCTTTTATCAGATAAACGGTGCTCATTTGTAAATAAATTGATTTATATATTTGAATCGTATTTCCAAAAAAATACAAATTAATTTACACATGTACTAAACCTATTGATTAATATAATTTTCACATTTAATGTCTTAATGAGAAAATGTACAAGTATTCGAATTTTACATTTTTAGGCGATTCTGTTAAAGTGGACGAAAGTTTATTCCAAAACCTCGATGATTTAGACTTGGAAGATGAGGATGATGATGACCCAGACTTTAATCCAGATGCATCAGATGACAGTGAATAAAGTGTGCTCACACGAAAATGTATCATATTATGGTGTGATCATTGAAATTGTAAAAAAAGAACGTTGAAATGAAGAACCACTGCAACCTCTCAGGACCTATACATTTTCTGTGATTGAAATATCAAATGGTAACTGAACTAACGAGAGGTGTTAAGGTTATAAGTGCTTTTTTTATAAAAAAAAAAAAAAAAAAAAAAAGTGTAGTAAACAGCTGAATATTTTTGTTCATAAAGCTTTATTTAAGTAAATGCATTCTGCTGGTACTTTTTCCTAAGAATATCCCTTTTCAATGTTTTTTTTTTCTTTTTCTTCCTTTCATGTGATTAAATTTTTGTGTTCAACTTGTTTTTCTATGTCATTACTGTAGCTGCACCATTCAATTTTTTAAATAAAAAGTTTTATTGTCGTATAAATGCATATACCGTGTTGAGCGCAATTGAAAAAGATAGTTTATCACGATTCAAAGACCATAAGTTTTATATTTTTATATTTATAAATAATATACCTTTCGTATTAACATTTTAACATTAAAGCGTTGTTATAGTACAATAACCGCGACAAATTACGACTCACATTTCATGTTATAAATATTTCGTATCTCAAAATTTATCAATAACTTTTGTTCTATAAATGTAAAAGTAATAATTATAACGAAATATATTAAAATAAGATAATATCGATAAACACAGTATGTTTAGGTGCTGAATTTATCTTATAAGTTCTGTGAAAATTTTTTTAACGACATTAGTTTTATTATTTCGTTTTATCACTCATTTTATCTAATAAAGATGAGTCATAGTAGAGCTCGTGCTGGAGTTGACTAACTTATGATTTTTTCGCATTTAATGTGTAAATGATTAACTAAAAAGATATCTCACTTTTTAATCGTTGATCTCGTGCTTAGCTTCATTCTTCAATACATTTAAGCATATTTGACAAAAGTCCGTCTCAAATGAATGTATATTTTTTACTTGTTCAAATTTGAATAGACGCATTACATTTTAATATATGTAAAAATTGTGATCCTAAAAATTAGTCTGTTAGAAACGTGATATAACACAGCTAATTAAAGGCACCTTCCTTCTTATTATTTTAAAGCATGGATTAAATAATTTTTATGCAAGTCAAAAGCATGTTTATCGTTACTTTCAAGTTATTTATCGATGTTTAGCGAATTTTCTGGACAACTTCTTTGTTTCAAATTCGAAGAACACAAGCTTCGTTATTTTGTAGCTTACCACGCTTCTATTAGACGAATAATATGAAAATAATTGTCGGTTTAAGTATGTCTGTAAGTATGGTAGAACGCTTGTATACCATTTGGAAGAGGCCTTTTCTGGTAATTTGCCTGATTAAAATTTTTCCAACAGTGTTTGAAAACGACACTTAAATATTTACCAAAAAACACAGAAGAGAGGATAACATTTCTTGCTGCCTTCTTTGCCGATACATATTTTTTTATTCAATTGACCTAATAATTTTAACGCGTTAAACGTTCTTTTGTCTTTTCTAGAAGAAGATTTGTCGGGCTTTATCACTCGAAAGTAAGTGATGCACTTGCATAGCTGACAGAACTATCACTCATGCTATTGCACTGGCTACTTTGAGCATATTTCAAAAATTTCAGAGACATTCGTTGTCCATTACTAGTCTCTCTTAAACTTTGAACTGCCTGTAGGACGAAATGTTATTGTCATTAACAATAACCTACTTGTATAATGAGTTAAACAATCATAGATTTTTAAACATTACCTGTAGTAAAACCCCAATTGGATGTCTACCGCAAATAGTATTTGCATACTTTCTTAAATAATCAGTAAAAAGCGGAGGATTTAGCTTTTCAATTATATCCATGCCCTGGAAACATTTTTCAAGCATAAAATTTCCCATTCAATAAAAAAAATTACATGCATGCACCATAATCAGACAAAAACAATTACCGTTTGATCAAGATTCTTTATAGACTTATGAATAGCACCACATGACTTGTCATAATAGGTGTAACGAAACCGTTGACCCCAGTGACAGAAGTCAGAAGATATAACGAATAAAGTCTGAGGATCAGCTAAATATGGAGCTAAAAGTTTCCCATACATAGCTTCACGTTCAGGTGTGAGAGATCCAACAAGAATTGGGGTTATAGTGAATGAATCTTTAAAGCTGAAGAAGATAATGATGTTTTAAGTATATATGCCATAAATATCGTTGAATTTCGCTATTTCAAAAATTTGTAACTAACTCTTCCATCACTTTAGCGATATATGGCAGTTGCATTTCTATACTATGCTCCTCTTCGTCAGTATCCATATCCATCCAATCAAAATGTCCAGTATCTACAAGTTCCTTTTTAACTGTAATAGAGAAAAAAATTGTCCTGAACTAGTAAATTTTTTACTATTGCTACATAATAAACAAAAACATTGTTTACTTTGCTGATCAATTTGAAGGTCGTACAACGGTGTTTTGTAGACCGTAGCAGTTGAAAGGGCACAGCCTGGCAATCTCACATTATGGGATGGACCTAAAATGAATATCTTGCGGCTGCATAGCAGCAAGTCTTTTATTTCTAATCACTATCAATAGAAATAAAGAATAAACAGTTTAAAAGAAAAAAGTCAAATTCTAAAATTTTTCTTATTATCAGCAAAAGTAAAGAATGTAGCTACACTTACACCACCACAGGACTAATTTGGCGATATGCAAAGGCTGCACAGGCTCCACAATAACTGTAACCAGCATGACTGTAAAAATAAATGTGTTTACCAATTAATTACCACTCAGAATAGAGCTTACACACAAGTTTAATCAACAGGAGTTTGTATACTAACGGTGAGATAATAGCTCTAGCTGGTCCATGAGTCAAGTCAGCAGCACTTAGCCAGTTATTCAATTGTTTATTAAGCTCAAAACCTAAAGAATATCAATGTTTCTAAAAACGCTTATTACCACAAAACTATCGCTTCTGTTGTATTAAGTAAAAGAAGAATATTTGATCGCGTTATTGGTGCGATGATGATTAAAATTGCATAATGAAAACATTTAAAAAATCATTTTTATGCTGCTTTTAAATAAAAACTTTTCACTTGTTATTGACTAAAAAAATTTATTATCTAAGGACTTTTGAAATACACTGTGGAGTTAAAATCTTGGTACTTGATTGTTTTTTTATAGGTGGTAAAAAAAATTGATAAATTACCGTTCTCCGTGTACCAGCTACCAGCGTGGCTAGCTCTTCTCGTGGGTGCCATTGTAGCAACAGATAGAGACAATTACTTTAAGGATGCTTACTAAATCGTGGACCTGCGAGGGCAAAACAGAAATAGATACTTAGATAAGGTGTAACTTGATTACCAGAGTTTATCAGCTCATATACATGTTTACTTGTAAGTATGTGAAGAGCAAGGTAAATAAATATTCAAGCATCCAATAAAGCCCAGTGCCGTATTAAAGTTAATTTTCTGAATGGTAAAATGATAAACAGAAATGTTTAGATCAACTGTACTTAAGCACAACGAAAAAAAGGAATTATTTTTATCCACAAAAATTATTTCAGAAAAAAAAGAAATAAAAATTGAAAAAGTTAACAACCTGGTTCAACAAAGGAGTGTGTATGTACTGTATCTCACTGTATAAAGACTATCTTTTTTCAAGATATGAATTGATACATTAAAAAACTTCTTGGATACTATTCAAATCAAATCAGCAAGTAATGTATTGTGTACACACACTAATAATGCACGCTTCTGAGTTAACAGTTAATTCGTCAATTGTAAGTAGTCAACTTTGCTCACCTAAACTTTGGTGAAAATTTGAAGACTGTAGGCAAATTTGCATTTGCAGTAACAAAGTAAAAGCAATTCAATTATGCAACAAAACTGTCCATGATAGTTACTAGCCACACCACTGACACCACAGTGTACACAATAAAATGTATTTACTATATACACAATACCTAATATATAGGTATGCAGTATATGTGATGTGGGATGCGTGGGTGGTGGGTGGTGGGACTTGGGTGGTAGGTCACGTGGAATATTCATAGAGATATATTACATATTCGACCTAGGGTCTAGTCTAGGGTTTTCCGCCAGAAAGAATATATATATATAATCACTATTAAAATAGACAGTGCCATCTAGTGTTGCGATATTTGTAATCTAAAAATCTAGGGGAATTCGTCTTGAGAAAAATCCCCTAGATTATAGTGCTGTGGGTGTGTTCCAGTTCCAGTAACGCTTTCCAACAACTTACCGACAACTTAATCATGTCTTATGATATCTTGCGTGATGTTTAAGTTGTCGGTAAGTTGTCGGAGAGCACTACTGGAACACACGGAAGATGTCTTTGGGTGTTTTCCGCAATCGTCACCAGCAAGTAATTTAAGGTTGCGCTCTACGTTACCGTCAGGTCAGTAAGTCAACTATACCTTGAATTAAACTGGCGCTCTGTTCCGTAATCTGCGGCCATAGTAAAAACAGCAGACGACAGTCAACATCGATGAAATCTTCATTTTTTTCTCGACTTTCACGTCGTCTGCTGTATGGCATCTGCAGATTACAGGAATAGAGCGCCAGTTTAATTCAAGGTAGTTGACTTACCGACCTGACGGTAACGTAGAGCGCAACCTTAAATTACTTACTGGTGACGATTGCGGAAAACACCCTTTTAAGAACTTTGTGTTTGCTGGGATCCCAGCATCCATGATGGCATGATCTACGGAATGATTCGTGGTGATGTGGAGTAGAGGCACGTCGAACGTGAGCTGAGTGCTTTTGTATGTGCATGGTGTGTCAGAGGACCTGTTGGGGTTTTACGTTTGACTAGAACTAAAGGAGTCTGTCGTCCAAAATAATAAGTTTTATTAACACACACTAAATTTGACACTTTAACTGAGTGACAGTAGGTATACAATGCTGTAGCACGGCGGCAATATGGTTCGTATCCTACCAGATTGTCGTGATACATACTTTCACCCTGCTTGGATGGTGATGAATAAATAAAAAAATTAGTTTGCAACGGAGAGTTAACAAATAAAGGAAAATCAGACGGAAAAAGGTGCACGGATATCAGGTGTGTGTGTGTGTGTGTGTGTGTGTGTGTGTGTGTGTGTGTGTGTCGAATGCTGTGTGATTTAGTGCGTGCAGTGCACTAGTGCAGTACAGAGGGGTAATGATGTCAGGTCAGGCTGTTGGTCCTGGCCCTCAGGAGAACTATACCAAGTTATTTGAGTCGTTACAGGCTGACCTTAAGACCCTGGCCTCGGAGACTAAAAAGAAGTACCCACAAATCAAAGAGGTATTGCTGCTTCTATATTATTTTTATTACCATCTAGCACAACTTTTTTGTATTTTATGCTTATGTTGCATTGTTTATTTTTTTTCTTTGCCTTTTGGGCTTCATGCTGCAGTCATTACACATTGTACAACTTTTAACAACTTTTGAAGTCACTGAATTGATGTGTTGGGAGGAAGAATTAAAAAAAAAAACTCAATACATTTTTTTATGTCAATTACCACTCATGTTAATCTTAATTTTAAACTCAGTATCTCATTAATACATCTGCTACATAAGTTCAGTTTCTAATCTATTTTCTAACTCTTTTTTTATTAAAACATTTCTATGAAAATATAAAAAAATGATTTTCGAATCTGCATACTTCATTGAACTCCTAGATTTTTTTCAAAGAAACATGACTAAGGCGACTTTATGATTGAATAGCTTGATAACAGTTGTACGGATGTGCTATCTTGTTAGTACAAGAGGCAGCTTTTTTTTTACATTTATGTTCTGAACACTGATTACATAAAACTTTATTTTACAGTCATGTGAAGAAGGAATAAGCAAGTTAAAACAAGCATCCTCGTCCAATCAACCAGTTCAAATTTATTATGTTGTGAATCAAATTCTTTATCCTCTAGTTCAAGGTTGTGAAAGCAAAGATGTAAAAATCAGTAAGGTAAATAAACTAAATATGATTTTTATCAGCCATAGAATAATAATAGTAATAATAATAATAATAATAATATAATTGTTATTTCAGTTTTGTCTTAACACAATGCAAAGACTGATAACCCAGCAGGCGATTGATCAAAAAGGAGCTAGGTATATCACGGATGCTTTGAGGACTTTGATAAAAGCAGGTATTGAAGAAGTTAAAGTTTTGCAAACAGTAACATTGCTGCTCACAAGTAATTCATTAGTTCATGGGGAAACACTTGCAAGGGTAAATAGGAGCAAAGAACAATATTTAATTTTCAAATTATTCAATTCATTGTAAATAAAATAAAATATTGTAATTTAGAATCTGGTACTTTGCTTTCGTCTGCACTTTACCAAAGATTCAACAACTATAAATACAGCTGGAGCCACTGTCAGACAGTTAGTTTCTCTGGTATTTGAGCGAGTTGTAGCTGAAGATGAAGAGTATTCTGACCAACAAGTGCAAGATGAAAGTAATTTAGAAGAACTTAAAGTGCCTACAAATCAAGCACCGAAAGGTCTGAGGCCTTGTGCTGCTGATGCCTTTTTAATGTTTCAAGTGAGTCCTAAATTATTTTACTTTAACTTTGACCCTTAAATCATTTATTTATAAAAAAGTATTTAAATAATAAAATTAGCCGAGTTATTTGTGTATTTATTTTCAAGTATTCTAATCTTGTGCATAAAATTGAATTCTACTGGAATGTAACACTACCTACTCTTTTATGCACTTACTCCTTTACTAATTAGTACTTTTGTTTCTTGAAGGACTTAGTTCAATTAGTAAATGCAGATCAACCATATTGGTTAATAGGCATTACTGAAATGAGACGAACGTTCGGTCTAGAATTACTTGAGTCTGTTTTAACAAACTTTACTTCAGTATTTTTTAAAGTAAGTCGTATTTTTGTTCACAAACTCCTGAATGTCATTCACCAAGCACAGTCTTAATAAAGTATCTTTTCCTCTCCACAAACAGCACCCGGAGTTCAGTTTTCTTCTTAAGGAACGTGTATGCGCTCTTGTAATAAAATTATTTTCACCTAATATAAAATATCGAAACTCCGTGCCGGCTTCGATACAACAAGCCACACCCCTCGACAAACCCTATTTTCCCATCAGTATGAGACTGTTGCGAGTTGTAGCAATCTTGGTTCAAAAGTATCATTCTCTACTGGTAAGTTTTTAAAGTTGTTCTCACATGAATATTTTTTTAGCATGACTCATTTAATGTAATTTAAATACAATTTTAGGTCACGGAATGCGAAATTTTTTTATCCTTGATAGTTAAGTTTTTGGATCCCGAGAAACCATCATGGCAGCGAGCATTAGCTCTGGAAGTTTTGCACAAAATGACAGTTCAAGCTGACTTATTGACAAGTTTCTGTAATTGCTATGACTTAAAACCGCATGCCACTAATATATTTCAGGATATAGTCAACAACTTGGGCGCTTATGTACAAAGCCTCTTTCTTAATTTCAATATGGCATCATCTAACACAGGTTGTTTTACTTTATTTTCAAATTTATTTTTTTTCCAAAACATCCAAACGAAAGATTTAAATATTTCCTACTATTAGTAACCAAAAGGTGACTTTTTTTTTTTACAGGAACAGCTGCAACAATAGCACAAGGCTCTGCTCCGGCAATGCTAGCTGGTATGCCAATAGGACCAGGTGTCACTCCACAGCCCGGCTTCTTTTCAAGAGGCATTTGGCTTCCAGTTGTAGCGACATTCACCAGTGGCCAAGCTAAATCAACATAGTAAGTTTGCTCACAACAATGGATGTTTATCAATGTAATCAAAATGTTTAAAAAGTATTGAAAAGGAAAAAAAAAAATAAACAAAAATTGCTGCAGTCTCGAAATGCTGGACAAGGTTGAGCCACCTCAAATTCCAGATGGCTATGGTATTAGTATCGCTTACGCCTGTTTATTGGATATAATCCGCTCGATCGCGATGGCTATAATGGGACCGCGTGAAGAGGGAGTAGAGCGTCGCTACGAGCCTACAGAAGCTGATCGCAAGCTCCACGTACAGCTTATCAACTCAAGTTGGTGTGGCTTGCTGGCGGCGCTTAGTCCATTGATTGACGCGAGTACCGATGAATCAGCCACTGAGAACGTTCTCAAAGAAATTCAGACGTTTGCCTCGCTCTGCGGACTACTCGACCTTCACACGCCTCGCGACGCTTTCATCACGGCCATCTGCAAAGCTTCTCTGCCACCACATTATGCGCTTACGGTACTATACAGCGCGCCTCAGGGTATACCCAGTGGACCAAGACAGCTACCACAGCCGGATGCCATTGGTGTGGGAGGATCAGGTGGGCAATACAACCCGGCAAATCTTGGTGAACCAGATTACAGGCAACAGGTCGTTGCTGTCGGTACACCGCTTCCTACCGCATCCCTCCCAATCGGTGAGTGTTTGTAAGAAGCACAGAAGACTATACTGTTAATGATGTGTTGAAAAAATGATTCATACTCTACAGGTGCTCAACAAGGCCCGGTTATGCTGACAGTAAAGAATCTTCAGTGCATGCGTGCCCTGCTCTTACTAGCCCATTGTCACGGCAGTATTTTAGGCACCGCGTGGCACCTGGTGCTCACGACATTGCAGCATCTCGCTTGGATACTCGGGCTCAAACCGTCGACTGGTGGCTCTTTAAAGGCCGGGCGTACCGCTGCCGACTCCAACGCTATGCTAACCACGGCCGTTATGGCCGATCTGCCGGTCCTCAGTGCTATGCTCAGCCGATTGTTCGAGAGCAGTCAGCATCTCGACGATGTGGCACTTCATCATCTCATCGACGCGCTTTGCAAGCTCAGTCAAGAAGCCATGGAACTTGCTTACACGAATAGAGAACCGTCACTATTTGCGGTAGCCAAACTCTTGGAAACTGGCCTTGTTAATTTACCGAGAGTAGAAGTCTTGTGGAGACCACTGACGAACCATTTGTTAGAAGTGTGCCAGCATCCACATATCAGGATGAGAGAATGGGGTGTTGAAGCGATTACGTATTTAGTTAAGGCGGCTCTTCAGCATAAATATCCTCAGCCACTTCGAGATAATCAAGTAATTTGTTTGCTCTCTTGAATAAATCATATGATGCGATTAACGGGCTTATTGTATGATTTTATTTTTGCAGAAACTGCAAACTCTACTCTTAGGACCACTGTCAGAATTATCCTCGGTACGACATGCAGACGTTAGACAAAGGCAGTTAGAATGTGTCCTACAGATTCTTCATGGCGCCGGTGAGACATTATTCTATGGTTGGCCTCTGGTGCTTGGAATCATCGGAGCAGTTTCAGATCATCATGGGTAAATTTTTTTTCACACATGAAGCCAATAAATAATACATGAACTTTGATAATTATGATAATAATTATTCGTCATTCTTAGAGAAAACTTGGTTCGCGTAGCGTTTCAATGCTTGCAGCTCGTAATAACGGATTTTCTACCTGTGATGCCATGGAGGTGCCTTCCATTGTGTGTTGACACTGCAGCCAAGTTTGGCTCTCAAACTCAAGAGCTGAACATCTCGCTTACTGCCGTTGGTCAAATGGTACGTCTTAGTGAAATTTATGAAGTATTAATGTTATATTAAATTAAATTTATCATTTTAGTGGAACATAAGTGATTACTTTTATCAAAACCAAGAAAAAATTTGCGCCTCCCTGCGGGGTGACTCGGCCTCGGTATTCCCCGATTTTCCAGGCACAACGAATATGCCAGCCTTTGATAAGCTCTGGATGTGCTTGTACGCGCGACTTGGGGACCTCTGTATCGATCCGCGACCTGCAGTACGAAAATCTGCTAGTCAAACGTTATTCTCGACTATTTCGGCGCATGGAAGTCTATTGAATCAGCCAACGTGGCAAGCAGTACTCTGGCAAGTTTTGTTTCCACTGTTGGACAAAGTGAGGAGTTTGTCAAGTTCGGCCAGTAATGAAAAGGTCGATACATCTGGCAATATTCTTATACACCACTCTAGGAATACAGCACAGAAGCAATGGGCAGAAACACAGGTACTGGATCGAAAGTTTTAATTCCTAATGAGTGGAAGTCAAGGGATAACTGTAATTTGCAGGTACTAACATTGAGCGGCGTTGCAAGGGTTTTCAATACGAAACGCCAGCTACTGCAATCGCTCGGTGACTTTCCTCGCGCATGGTCGCTTCTACTGGAATTCATCGAAAATTCTGCTTTGAGCAAAAATAACGAAGTGTCCCTGGCTGCTTTAAAATCCTTCCAAGAGATCCTGTACCTTCCAAAAAGCACTGAAATTACTGATCCTACGCAATTTGAGGATTCCGAAGCTTTGTGGATCGTCGCTTGGCGTATTTGGCTGAGCATTGGCTTAGAAAGCACGGCACCTCCACAGGAAACTGAAATTGAACCTTACATTCCGTCACAAGCATTCCTGACTGCACTCGTCCAAATATTTCCCGCCGTCTATCAACATGTAAAAAATAAGTAAGTCATCTCACGATATGATTTTTTTTTTTTTTTTAATCGTTTAATTGTTTTTATAATTTTCTTTTTAATACCAACACACTTTTAATAGATTTTCCGCAACCGACTTGCAAAATCTGTGCCTCGTTTTGAAAAATGCCGTTGCCATACCAGTACACAGTGAATCTACGCCGTTCGTATTGCCCACTGTTCCAGATGTTGTATTAACTCAATTGCAAGATGGTGTACTTCACTCTATGGAATTGCTTCAAAAAGTATGTAAACAATCTTCTTTGACTATCATCATCGTCAATATTTATTGTCAAATGTTACTATCATTTATTTTAGGAATCATTGTCAACGCCTGAAAATCTAAAAAGTATGATTAGCCCAATTTTTATACAGCTCCTGTATTTTTCAAAACTCGCTTGTGAGGCGCCGACGTACGGCAAAATTTCTACAAAGCATATCTCCCAAGTCAGAGGCATATCTGTGAGTCGCTCAATTACTAAATTTTTATTTTAATGTATTTCGCGATTTCCTTGCATAAAACGTGTTTTTTTTTTTTTTTGTTTTTTTTTTGTTCAGGCCGATTGGGTTACCATGAACTACGTGCCTTTTGGAGAAAAAGCTTTGTCTATGGTTGTTAACTTGTATCAAAAGACCGCGCATGAGATGGCTGTAATCGATGCTCAGATCCTGAAGCACATAATCGAAACACTACATATTCCTTTGGCTATGAAATACTCTTGCCCTTTGCAAACAACGTGGAAACTAGCCGTGACGAGTCTTTTAGCTATTTTACACGTAGGATTACCATTGGCAAGAAACTATCCGGATCACTTTCAAAACATGTGGCCTAAGCTCGCAGATACCCTCGACCATTTTCTATTTCCTTCTAGGTAAGGGCATATATCAAGGAATCTACTGATTATCCTGAATTATACAAATATTTGAGCTTTTTCGTGCTTTTCTAGTGTAATGAATACAGATAGAGGCGCTGAAGAAATCCAGGCTGACGAAGCTGTTGACTGCCAAGTAATGGAACTTTTACGAGATGAAGTATTGCCGCACTCGCAACAGATTCCTCATCAGTTTATACTACGAGTTGTTATGTTGTTAAACAAAGGTTCTATTCACTCAGCCACATCAAACATTGGTAATTATCTCGATTTGAAAAAAAAAAAAACCTCGATCTATGGTGATTGAAAATTACTAAACGCTCGTATCTAACAACAACAGCAGAGAAGAATGGTGAACCGAAGCTGCGGGAAGAATTCGCAAAAACGTGCTTTGAAACCCTTCTTCAATTTTCTCTGCTCGACGGTCTTAACAACGAAATCGAAAGCACGGCTGAAAGTCTCACAGAAGAAGACGAGGGTGGAGTAGCTGGTCGTTTAGCAGTCACAGCACTACTGCACCGATTTCAGGAGGTACTCAAGCGCTATATTGATGATGAGCGCAGAAGTGGCAAGTGCCCGCTACCCAGGTAACGCTTATCGGGCGAGGCTACTTAGTTTTTCATAAAATGTCACGTGTGACCCCCAAAAAGATGACTATAGAACTATTTTCTAGGTACAGGTTGTCAGAGATATCGTTTGTGCTCAAAGCCGTTGCAACCCTCGTTGTTTCGTTGAAGAAGGCACCTGCCAACAAAGGTAAGTCATTTATCCCTCTTCATTTCCATGAATTTTTGTTTTACATGGATAATATTTTATTATTATTTCCATTCGCAAGCCTAAAATCATTTAAAAATCTAATAACATAATAATACAATGGTGTTGGATTTATTTCCGTTTCACCTCTTATCTGAAACCCTTTTTCGTTGAACCCATGAAAAATCCATTTCAGTAGAACTTTCATTTAATATTTCCATCTCCATCATGACCCATCAAGACTATTTTTTTACCCCTACAACCCTGTAGCGTTAAAAAAAAAAAAAAAAAATTATTCTTATTTTAACCGCGGATGTGAATAACAGTGGAGCGCTCGGTATGGGAGCAGCTGATCGGTCTCTACCCTTGTCTCGTCGAATGTACCGTGGCAACAGCGTCGAGTCAGGTGTCGCGTTCTCTGAGAGAGGCGCTCATGCAGTACCACGATCTCCTCCGACCACCATTTGTCAGCAATCCACCTGCCTCGAACGGCGTCTGACCCAAGTCGTATCATAATCACCACTTGGAGAGCAGCAATTGTATCTAATCAGGCTTTATGTGTATAACGATCGAAAGGATGGATAACTCGTCAACGAATCTAAGATTTGTGAATTTAGGAAAGTAGTAAAATACATCGTTGAATTTTTGTTATGACAGAGTTTGAAAATTTTTTGAGTTTTACTTTGGGAGAAAGTGGGTAGGTAGCAGTATTTTCGTAGCGAACAGTAGGCGATGGTTCATGTACAAGTCGTGTATTTTAATTTGCAAGGCACGCTATCAGTCTTGAAGACAAACGAATCATTGATTCTTCAAAATAAATTTTAAGGTTCGCAGACCTTACATTTTTAATATATTCTTGTTCTAGATAAATTATGATTCCTCTTTTACAGTTACCTACTCAGCGTAAAGTTTTTTAAAAATAATTCATAATCATCACTTATTGTTATCAACTCAAAGATAAAATAATCTTTAATATAATCAACTTCCTTTCTAATATTTTTATCGTGTGATATTGTGTTAGTACAAGTTTTTTTTTTTTTTTTTTTTTTTTTACTATGCTTGCACTTGAATTAAGCACTATAGCGTGTGTTTAAATACGTCGTGTGCCCGAGGGTGAAAAAAAATGAGACGGAATATTCAAAGCTAAATCGCAGCTAAGTTTGTCAATTTTTTTCTGCTGCTGCTTTTTTTCGTATTCAGATAAATTAGCGCACAGCAAGAGAAGCAAAATATATCCTAAATCAATAGACGGTATATATGCGATACCGCCAAGAAGACGAAGGTTCGGACATCGATGCCCCAAGGCATAAATGATATGTGCTATGTAAGCATTCGAAGGGAAAAAGAAAAAAAAAACAAGGAAAAAGTGAGAAATAACTCATCGTCGTATATAAATCATCGAGACTCTAATTGTAAATACGATACATAATATAATGAAATATCCATACGAAAATAGTGCGCTATGGCACCCTCGTTTATAGTTATATATAGATATATACTTTTTATTCTGTGTGTACATAATGATCGAACGAACTTACAAGATACAATGAATAAAAAAAAAGTTTAATATCATATGTAGATGATTTTATAAATAAAAGAAGAAAAGACACAAAAAAAATCTGCCTGTATTATCATACCGTGTTCATGAGGTAAATGCACGAATGCAAATCACGAGTAAAGATGCTGTAATAATGTATATATAAATCAATGATTAAATAAAGCTATGGATACCATTGCACGAAATAAGTTTTAGCCTCTGCATTTATTTTACCTTACATGTTACGTATACACCCACCACTTTACTCGCACATTGAAAAAATATTGCATGTATTGTAGTAAGAAAAAAAAAAAAAAAAAAAAAGATATACATTTTCTGTCCATTTACAATCTCTCACAAAGCAGATTAAACAATAACTATTATAACGAATTAACAAAAATGGCCTCTTAATTAAAATCTCAATAGCCACTCGTTCAGGTCGGGGGAATACACGTATGGACGCGTTGTCGTCGTCCTTTCATTAAGTCGAAAGTTAATTAAGCGGGAGATCTACTTGCCAGGGTGGTACGCAGATGAGAAACACGGACCACCGACACCGAGCTGGCTAAACTTGTGTGCGCAACGGGATACTTGCTTGGGATCGATGGTGTACGCGTGCAATCTACTATATACTTACCAATTTACGTGTATATACTTATACTGCTTGCATATATGCGCACTCCGCTGCTCAAACTTGGAATAATATAGCAGCTGTCTCTTGTACTCAAACTTCACCATCTCGTTGGAAATTACCCGCCATGTCTGTTGTATAAACCAGCGTCAAATTAAATTCCAACTTAATACTATCAAGTGATAAAAAAAAGGTTGGAAAATATTTATTATCGGATAAGTATGTGACTGTGCGAGGTGATGGAATAATTCTATTTCAATCATTTCTTGCTCTGTTCATCTTTATTTATCTCATTACGTACATTACATTTTTTTTTTTTTTTTTTTATTTCATGGGAATTTATTGACATTGTTATTGTGTCACTGGTTAAGTGTATTATATAGCGTTTTTTATTTTACATTTTTTTTTGTTTATCGAACAGGTGTCGGGGAGTTGTTTTTTTTTTTCTCATGTCATTAACAATGAAAATACTATTTATTGACAGAAATTATGTATAATATTGTGAAACAACAAAAGTTTTGGAATCATAAAATTGTTTATCCAATTAATTAAAAAAAACATTTTGCTTTTCAGTTTTTTAACATTGATACATTGAATACCTCCATTTTTCATGGAAATATAAATAATTATTCTTCATTGTTGACTTGCTCGATATCGCACGAATAATTACATTTTTCGAATTGTCGAAGTTATTGCGGATGTCTTTTGTTAATTACATAGATTAAGTACAAAAATATCTACTGTGTTGACAACAAATTCTTTACGTGTTTACAGTAATGTAATTGTCGATGTAGTTTACATTATTTTTCATTATTTATTGGCTGCGCAATAAAAATATTGAATTTTGTTATGTACAATTAAACGCGAAAAATAGCTAATTATTAGTGCAATATCTCAGTCTCTCAGTAACGGCTTCATTTTTGTACAAAAAATAAAAATTGTTTTAATAGCACTTTTAATAACATTTAAATCAATCTTGTACAAACTGTTTAATTGACAATGATAATTGAAAAAAATATTATATTACATAATCTAGTGAACGAATCATCAGTGTTTTCTCTTCTTGTACAACGATTCCTTCCAATCACTTATATAGTCTTGGCATTATGTTAGAGAGTAGTCATACGAAATCGAACTTGGAAAAGTAATTTTATGTATTGGTATTTTTATAAAAAAAAAAAAAATTCAATCACCTAAAAATAAATATTAACAGAATCGAGATCAGTACACTACGTAAAAATTATCTACAATTTAAATCGTAGATGTTGTTGATGGCGTAATATCAAGTCTATATTGTTTAAATCTAAAAGTACACATTTTATATTTGTAGTATTTATAGATGAAACGAACATTGGCATATAATATACTAATATTTTTACGTAGAAATAAAACAGTATTATTAATAATATGTATATATACATCAACTGATCGCAAAAAATAATTACATTTGCATATCTTTTATGTTATTTTTTATGCAAAGCACATGGTATATAAACTTTAATTTAATTTAACTCAAGAAAAAAATACTTGAGTCACATTGGCACAACATATACAGATAAAATAAAATTTTTTAAGTATTTTCAATTTATATTCTGATTCAATGAAAATGTTATCTTATTTCAGGTTACAGGCAAATAAATAAATTTTTATTAAACTTAAAAAAGCAGCACTTTTTATTTCATATCTTATTCGACGATTAATTATATTGTTAAGGTCAATCCCTAATATTGTTATTCCTATAGGAAAATACCATATATGTATATGTGATCGAACACGTTTACGCTGAATGTTCATTTGTATAGGTCACTTACGAAAGTTACACCTTATTTTTCCATTCAGACAGTAAGTACTGCGCACATGTACGGATAGGTACTTGGCTGACATTGTGTTTCGACCAGCCATGTAAGTATAGAAGGCCGATTGAAACAGATGTAGATATGTCAGTCAAAATTTAATATTATCATTATTGTAGTTTATTTATTTATTTATTCTTTTTTTTCTTTTAATTATAAAATTATATATTATAAGAAATGAAATTTAAAATCAGTCACGAGTTACATAATTATCAAAAAATGTTTGCTTTAAAATTAATCATTGAATATTTTTTGACTTCAGTTTCGCTTGTGCTTAGCAGATTTCCTTTTTCATCAAATGAAAACTGTAATGTTGAAAAAAAATTCAACTATATTTAATATTTACACACTGCAAGCTTATTTTTTTACACTAATCTGCAAAAGAACCGATACATACCTTCTCATTAGCTATCTGATGAAAAATATAGCAAATCGCCAGTACAATCTAATGAAATTTTTAACGAGTCCTTTTTTTAGTAATTTTTTTTTTTTTTTTTTGTAAAATACATACGCTTACAAATATTACACATATAATCAATATGTATGAGAACAAAAACTTACAATTACTTTTATTGTCATTAGTTTTCAACACTTGTTTTCTCGAAGAATCTTTTTCAACACTTCGGTAAGAAAATTTAGCGAAATTAAAGTGATACTTGTAATTAGTTAATATATTTGTGTTTCTGTAAAGAGGAAGTACATAAATATTGATCAGTAAGGATTGATCGCACGCATCTGGGAGTTTGTGTTTCATACATCATTTCTATTTATAAATAATATACTTATCAAGTCTTTATCATCAAGCGTTGACGTAATTAGCGCAAACGCTAAATCCTTATAATCTGCTTTATATTTATCATTATTATTATCATTATTTTTATTGTTACATTATCATACGCATATGTATATATTGCCACTTTGATATAACATAATATCAAGTCATCTCGATTTATCAGATTATTTCATACACTTAAGCCTTCGGTGATATCATTTTTTTTTATCAACCGTTTTCCTACCACGTGTCTCGAGCAAACTTGTAGATTTTTCGCAAAATTATATATTACACAGGAATTTATTCGCAATGAGATTTTTCTTTTTTCATTTCCTCATTGCTTACTTCCATGCGTTAAAATTTTCCCTCGCTTTTATAATGTATAATATCCTCAGTCCCTAATGTAGGGTATGTATAGTTGAGGCCTCATTATTTAGCCACATTATTGTCTGATACATTTACTCGTAAAGGAAGGGCACTGGCAAAAATATTCTGTTGGAATAAATGGCTAATCATCATTTACCGTAATAACTGCTTTCAATCATGAGACTTTTCTCCCGCTTTGGAAAATTGATGATTCATTGTCGGTAAATATAAATTGAATTATACCAAGAATTAATATTTATGAGACACCACTTGTCTAAAATAATTTATCAGCCGTACTTGATAAATGCAAGTGATTTTCTGATCACTTGGCCTCGGCAAAGTTTTTTAAAAAATTGGAAACAAAGCAAAGCTACGATAGAGAGGAAGATGTTACGACTGATGATTTATTGTAGCTTCCGGGGTTCACAGAGCAATTTTCTTGCCAGTGCAGTTTTGCGTGTCTGTTTACAAGCGTAACGATGAATTTTTTAATTACATAAGTTTTTTTAAGCATGAATATTTTCACCTATTTTCGCTTGTAAATTAATAAATTATCATTTTTTATTTGTTTTTTTGGGTGTGCGTGTGCGCGCGCGCGCGCGCGTGTGTGTGTTGTATGTTGATACTCTAAATGCTATCTTTATAATTACCCTTGATATCGAAACCACATCACTTTACTAGGTATCGAAAAATATCTACGGTAAATATATATCATTTAAGTTGATTTATCATTGTATAATACATACGCGTAGATTCATTTTCTTTAGTCCTTCCTATTTCTTCTTTTTTTTATTATTTTTTTCTTTTTATAAGTACATTAGTTACCATTAAGATTGTTCTTATAGCATGTACAAGTCGATTTGTATCATTACTATCCTAAATAATACATATCCGATCGTTCTCGATTATTTTTTAAAGCACGAAAGAAGAACGAAAAGCGCCCGTTTTCACGGGTATGATAGTCCAGTGTAACTGTGGAAATTTTTTATTTTTTTTCATTTTTTTTATTTTTTGTTTTATTTGCCACGAGTCGAAAATCTGCCTCGACCTCCTGTACTCTTAGTCAATTTCCGGTTCCCTGTATAACATTTTTTGTAAATATCTGCACTGTAGGAACTCATCGTTCTTCTTTACATCGTCTTTCCCATTGAATCCTCTTATTATTGATCGATCCAATCTAATAACTGACGTTCTGTTATTGTCAATAATTTCAAATCATGACTTTTTTCTCGTATATTATTATTATTATTATTATTATTTTTTTTTTAATAAAT